GTAGACTCTAGACCAACCTTTGTTAAACAAGGTGCTTTTGGACTGCAACTCCCAGAAACTCCAGTGCTGAAGGCTTCTGGGAGTTGCAGTCCAAGAATACTTGGGTTACCCAAGGTTAGGAACCACTTGTCTAGACATATACTTTCACAGTTCGCTTTCCCCAGAAAAGAGAGGAGGGGAAGAGCGAGAGAGAAAGAATATGCTGGAATGCTAGCCTTTCAGTGTGAATCAAGCTTGAAACATCTGGATTATTTAAACTATCAGCAGGATATTTGAAGGGACTTTCCTTCCATGCCTCTCCTTGTTCCACTTCTCCAGTCTTAAACCATTATTTAATATCGGATAAATCCAGGCACTTCCATTGGTATAAAACCTGTATATTTATCTCACTTTACACATATTCTTAATAAAACTTTTGGGCTCCCCTCCCCAAATGTATGCCCATGGCCAAAACCATACCAACACAAAACACTCATTGCTCTGAGGTGCTTATTTTATCTGCAGTTTGTTAGCTCAACTACATTGTGAGAGACAGGGAAGGAAGCTGCATTTTCAAATGCATCACATACACTAGATATGTTTATTAGGTTCCTCTCCCCTCGAGGTACAAACCGGAAAAATGAACCGCAGACTGGTTTGTTTTTCTGCAGTTTTCTGGTTTGTGTTCATCTCTAGCAAACACTTCTAGAGAGGCATCATGATTGACTGCCACTAGTTTGTTCCTTCCTTCAACCTGTTGTCTTTTGAAAATAATAAGTCCAGCCAAGCCTCAGTCAAATACTTTCCCCCACTAACCTGTGTGGAACACCCTATTCCCTCTTGTCTCAAGTTGAGCAAATACTTACGAATTATCCCTTGAGCGCTGGCTGGCTGCAGTACTGGAGTGGATGGTGGCAAACAGATTGAGGCTGAACCCGGACAAGATGGAGGTCCATCAGGTAGGTGCCCTGCCGGTCTGTGGTTTGGGTGCCTCCCTCTCTTTTTGTGGAGGCTACTCTCTCTGCTAAGGGTGAGGTTTACAGCTTGGGTGTACTTCTGAACCCAGTGCTATCAATGGAGTCCCAGACAGCATCTGTGGTCTGCTACACCTATTTCCATCTCAGGCGGATTGCTCAACTGCAATGTCCCTATCTTGACATTGGGTCCATCACCATGTTGGTCCACGCACTGGTAATCTCAAGATTAGACTAGTGCATCTTTCTTTGCATGGGGAGGTTGACACAGAAACTAAAGCTGCATTTTCAAATGCATCACATACACTAGATATGTTTATTAGGTTCCTCTCCCCTCGAGGTACAAACCGGAAAAATGAACCGCAGACTGGTTTGTTTTTCTGGAGTTTTCTGGTTTGTGTTCATCTCTATCACACACTTCTAGAGAGGCATCATGATTGACTGCCACTAGTTTGTTCCTTCCTTCAACCTGTTGTCTTTTGAAAATAATAAGTCCAGCCAAGCCTCAGTCAAATACTTTCCCCCACTAACCTGTGTGGAACACCCTATTCCCTCTTGTCTCAAGTTGAGCAAATACTTACGAATTATCCCTTGAGCGCTGGCTGGCTGCAGTACTGGAGTGGATGGTGGCAAACAGATTGAGGCTGAACCCGGACAAGATGGAGGTCCATCAGGTAGGTGGTTTGGGTGCCTCCCTCTCTTTTTGTAGAGGCTACTCTCTCTGCTAAGGATAAGGTTTACAGTTTGGGTGTACTTCTGAACCCAGTGCTATCAATGGAGTCCCAGACAGCATCTGTGGTCTGCTACACCTATTTCCATCTCAGGCGGATTGCTCAACTGCAATGTCCCTATCTTGACATTGGGTCCATCACCATGTTGGTCCACGCACTGGTAATCTCAAGATTAGACTAGTGCATCTTTCTTTGCATGGGGAGGTTGACACAGAAACTACAACAGGTCCAGAACACAGCAGTCAGACTACTGAGTGGAGTGAATAAATATCATGATACCACTCATGATACCACTCCAGTTCTCACCAACTTACACTGGTTACCTGTCTGTTTCTGTGCCAGATTCAAGGTGATGGTTTTAACCAATGAAGCTCTAAATGGTTTGGGACATCACTACCTAGCGGAACTCCTACTTCTAGCAAGATCTGCCCATCCTACAAGAATATCCTAAGCTGAGGATGCTAATCCTGAGAGAAGCCGGGAGGGAGAAGACAAGAAACCAGGCCTTCTCGGTGGTTGCCCCTAGACTGTGGAATGAACTTCCCACTGCAGTTTGTTTGGCCTCTTTGATTGCCATATTTAAAAAGTCTCTAAAAACTTGGTTATTTAGGCAGACATTCTAAAATATACCTACAAACCAGTCTAATTAGCCTATCTGACCAACATCCACCATCTTAAATGTTTTCAATGTTTTCAATGTTTCGAATGTTTTTAAATGTTTTATTTTGATGTATGTCTGTTTTGAGTTTACTGCTTATTAGTATTTTATTTCTAATTTTTGTTATGTTAAATTGTGTTTGGTTATATTTAGATGTTGTCAAGCACCCAGAGTGGCCTCTGCGGATTGTCCAACTGCATCCCTATCTTGACATTGGGTCCGTCACCATGTTGGTCCACACACTGGTAATCTCAAGATTAGACTACTGCATCTCTCTCTGCATGAGGTTACCTATGAGGCTGACACGGAAACTACAAGAAGTCCAGGAATAAATAAATAAATAAATAAAAGAGGAAAAAATACATCTGCAGTTGCAGTAGGATGTTGTTCTACAAGTATTCGGTATTGTCTGGGTTATGCTCAGGTTAACCAGTTTTCACTAGATGATGTCAAAAGATATTTTTGAATTAGCTAGAATAATGTTGTTTCCTTGTGTAAAAAAAGTGAAGCAATTTGCATTTTGCAGGTGTTCTGCATTATCAGGAATGAGTGCCATAAATTATCATTTTAGCTACAGTGCAAGTAGTAGGTGTTTGGGAGGAGGGAGAAGACAAGAAACCAGGCCTTCTCGGTGGTTGCCCCTAGACTGTGGAATGAACTTCCCACTGCAGTTTGTTTGGCCTCTTTGATTGCCATATTTAAAAAGTCTCTAAAAACTTGGTTATTTAGGCAGACATTCTAAAATATACCTACAAACCAGTCTAATTAGCCTATCTGACCAACATCCACCATCTTAAATGTTTTCAATGTTTTCAATGTTTCGAATGTTTTTAAATGTTTTATTTTGATGTATGTCTGTTTTGAGTTTACTGCTTATTAGTATTTTATTTCTAATTTTTGTTATGTTAAATTGTGTTTGGTTATATTTTCCGTCACCATGTTGGTCCACACACTGGTAATCTCAAGATTAGACTACTGCATCTCTCTCTGCATGAGGTTACCTATGAGGCTGACACGGAAACTACAAGAAGTCCAGGACACAGCAGTCAGACTACTGAGTGGAGTGAATAAATATCATGATACCACTCCAGTTCTCACCAACTTACACTGGTTACCTGTCTGTTTCTGTGCCAGTTTCAAGGTGATGGTTTTAACCAATGAAGCTCTAAACAATTTGCATTTTGCAGGTGTTCTGCATTATCAGGAATGAGTGCCATAAATTATCATTTTAGCTACAGTGCAAATAGTAAGTGTTGGGAAACACAGATTTCCCATAAGGAGCTAAGTAGTTAGCTCCCTGCATTTTATTTTAAAATCTTAGCTTTTGATGTATAGAGGTCATTGAATCAGTGAATAATATGCATTGCATTTACCATGATATGTGAGGGGTGTCTGATAGAGCAACAGAAGAGAGATGCAACAGAGGATTTCAGCTGCATTTGAAGAAGTGGCTAATACTCCATGAAGACTTACACATAATAAAAATAGTTAACCTTTAATCTCTCACAGGACTGCTTGTTGTTTTGCTGAAAGAGACTAACACAGATACTGCCTGGGGATTTCAGCAGAAGCTTGCCATCCTAGGGATGATGGCAGTAACAGTTCCACATGCCATGGGGTGGTTACCAGATTAGGGAAGGCTACTATAAGAAGGAAAGAACTAGGCAGCAACTTTAAAATCTGCATATTTCGTATTGGGTTCAGTTCTACATTCTTCTACACATTAGTTATTAAGCCATCTTCAAGTTTTATCCTAATTTCTCTGTCGGCTCTAGCTTTTATTACTTTTAACAGTACTTTCTTAAAGCTATAAATTCTTAATTCTCCTAGAAAGATAAGACAAATCTATGGCATTTAATTATTGCTGCTTAGAAAAGTACACAAGCAAGATTGTTTGCATTTGTACTACTAACGGGAAGAAAAGCTACCTTAAGTTCTGGATCTGATGGGATGCAATTCAACCGAGCTTTTTTAGCCTTTGAAAAGTCTCTTGTACTGATGTTTTGGCCACAGACAGTTCTATCACATGGAGCATTTAAGGTAAACTTCCAAAATTCTTCTGTTCAATAAATGCAAAAAGCACACGTCATTAGGTAAAAATATGAAATGGCGCATATGAATATGTCACTAATGGTAATAGCATTTTTTCTACCGTGTTTCCCTGAAAATAAGACAGGGTCTTAATTTTTGCTTCCCAAAACACAGTAAGGCTTATTTCCAGGGGATGTTTTATTTTTTCATGTACAACAATCTACATTTATTCAAATACAGTCATGTCATCTTCTGGTTGCTGCACAATGCTGCACAATGGTGGAGGATGGGTTTTTTACTTAACTAGGGCTTATTTTTGAGGCAGGGCTTATATTACGAGCATCCTGAAAAATCATACTAGGTCTTATTTTTGGGGAAACAGGATACAGTACCATCCACATGACATAAGACTTGTCTTGGTTCAAAATGTGACAAAGTAAATAACTTTGAATGCTTGTTGTCCCCTATTCAAATCATGAAGGGTTTTTTGTTTGTTTGTTCCATGTTTGTTGGGATGTAGAGTTTAGCACTATAGCAGGGATCTGTTCCATTTCCTTCCCCATCTTTACTTCGTCACCAACATGCAAGCAGTTGACATACCCCTTCTCTCAGCACTTCCCAGCACTAGCAGGGAGAGTAAGCTGTTCCATGTAAGAATCTGGCTTAAAAAGAAGCAACTGCTACTTCCACCTGGAGATGCTAGGCATTAAACTTGAGATTGTGTGCTTGCTTGCTGTCTGAGGCAGGAGCATTAGTAGCTTGCTTGGAAAGCAAATGCACAAACATGCGCAAGCCTAGGATAGCCTGATTCACATAGATGTGAATCCCAGTAAGTCCCATGGTGATTCATGACAAACCAGAAGAAAGGAGGTAGATAATTCTTCCCCTGCCTAGAACAAGCCTGTCTTGTGCATTGTCCTGGAAATCAAGCTGAGGAATACAAAAATGGCATCAGTTCCTTCCAGCTTAAGTAACATAATACACATGTTATTAACACTGTGTGATACATGTACATAGATGTGAATCCCAGTAAGTCCCATGGTGATTCATGACAAACCAGAAGAAAGGAGGTAGATAATTCTTCCCCTGCCTAGAACAAGCCTGTCTTGTGCATTGTCCTGGAAATCAAGCTGAGGAATACAAAAATGGCATCAGTTCCTTCCAGCTTAAGTAACATAATACACATGTTATTAACACTGTGTGATACATGTCAGGTTCATGAATACAAAAATGGCATCAGTTCCTTCCAGATTAAGTAACATAATACACATGTTATTAACGCTGTGTAATACAGGTTCATACTATACTTGCCTTTCACTGCCTACACACTCCTTAAACCTTCCCTCAGGACTTGACATCAAGGAGCTGTTACCTCCTTTATTTACGTCCTTCTCATCAATAAGCACAATTTGCCATCTATTCTCTTTGCTCACCGAAATCCTCTCAAGCAATGTTACTGCAGTTTTGCTTATTCCTTTTTCTGGAAAGACTTTTATTTGCTTTTCAAGCACAAGGAAAATCTAAGATAATGTGTTACTTTTGTGTCTAACCCTTTCATATATGACAGTTAATGAGGAGGAGGAGGAGGAGGAGGAAAAGAGGGGGAAGGGAAGAGAAGGAGAAATGTTCTTACTCTTCCCTTTGTATCTTTCCAACTTTGAACCCTTAACTTGGTATTTGACACTGTACTGAGGCATACCTTTGTACTTGCCACTACTAACTTTGAAGGTGGGCTGAAGCTTTGGTGGGTTTCTCACTTCCATCATGAGTTGATCATGGAGGCTGGGCTCTTGGCAAGGTCTGTCTTTTAGTTTTCGTGTCGATGCCTGTGAAACAAACTAGGACTAAAGTAGAGGAAGACAAAACCCAACTCTTTGTGCCTTTTGACACAATTCCATTTGGGAGAGAATTCCTATAAATAGTGGACTATCTAGTAACTATGCTGTCTTATTAAAAAGAGAATATCCTTCCATCTTTTGCACAGAAATAATGATTAAGAATTTGTCCAGTCCTCTTTGAAGTTTTTAAAAATAAAAATATTATGAGATATGTCGAATAAACAGCTGAAGTAAAGGACACCACAGCAAGGCAGTAATTGTCCCATCCTCCCAAAGCAACATAAAATGTCACTCTAGAACTGAACACTGACTTTCCTCTTATTATTCAGCAGCATAATGCTTTCTGAGAGATTAAACTGTCTGAATTTTGTATAATAAGAAGACACTGGAACAGAGAACTTTTGAAAGGTGTGGCACTAGAAGAGTTCCTGAGCTTTCACAAAAGATCTAAGATCATAGAGGAAATACAAGACAACATATTACTTCACTAAGACTTATACAGTATGGTATGGGAAATATTATTCCAACATTAATGCTCATCTGGTATGGATTCTGCTGTCCCTGTTTCAATCCCGAAGTGGTTTGTCTCCAAGCAGGGGAAGCACTGCTCAAGAGTCAGGTGTGCTTCTGATAGATTTTTGTTATGAGAATCCCAGGGGGACATCTCAATACCTTCCTGCCTTAGGCTGCTGGCCAACAAGATAAAAACTATTGCCAATTTACACTTATGTAAGGGAAATCATGCACGTCTTGGTAGCAAATTGCCGCTCATTAATGGAGCATTGGTTGCTTTTTAGAGCATGCAGTGAGAAACACAACCAGCAATTTGTGGCCAAAAATTATTTGATTTCCCCTTACAAAAAAAAATCAGCCAAATAATTCTACCCATGAATTTGGCTTATAAACTGAAGACTGTTATTTATAGGGTTATGTCTCTGAGAAGTGGGAAGGGAAGCCAAAACTCACTGAGACACATCTGACAAAATTTGTGTGGAAGAAATTAGGCAGTGGCTGTCACATTGAATATGGTAGATGTGGAATATAAAGTTGGCCCTTTGTGATCTAGTGTATTATGTCAGGGAACTGCCAAAACACAATTTTCATTGAAACGGTAGTGTTACAAATAGGGATTGGATATTCCACATATTGATGTGCTGAAGAAAGAAGACAAAACAGAGAGATAATACATATGTGTCAAGTGTTGTCTGTTCGTGGTCTGAAGTCCTTGACTGGAAAGCTAGTGTAAAAAAAATGTATTTTGTCAAGTAGCTGTGCAGGGACTGACTAGCCAAGAGGTTGTAAACATAAAGCTTATTTAAGTGGTAAGCATTGCTTACTTTGTGGAGGGCGTAGCGTTTGTTTTTTATATCATCCACCACTGTGCTATAAGATGAACGAATGCCCTCTTCTGTGGGAGTCTCAGGCCTTGGTTGCTTTATGAACTTATGTAACCTCACTCCCTTCCGCAAATCACCAAGTACATTTTGCCACAAGCCAACCTAAAGGTGAGGGGGAAAGCACAGACCAAAAAACAACATCTTAGCCTTCAGGGATATCACTTTAAATTCATATGGCATATAACTAAAAAGAATAGCTTCAGGATTAAAAAAAAGACCTGCCTGGATATATTATGTGCCATCAAATAGGAACCAACATATAATTACCCTAATAGGGTTTTTTTTTAAAGGGAAGCGAAATATTTAAGGAGAGGTTTTACCAGTTCCATTCCCCCACCTCAGTGAGTTTCCATGGCAGAGTCAGTGAACTGAACCCAGGTATCCCGAGTCTGAATCCTTCACTTTATCCACTACCACCACACTGGGCATATTTACCTCTTTAAAAAAAAATTCAGGCCATCTTTCACCATTGTAAATACCAAACAATAGTAGGAATAGTCATGTTGACACAAAACAAACTCCAAGCTCAGTACTGAAGCAATCTCTTCGTAAGTCAACCAAATTGTGCAAAGATACAAACATGTGCAAGCTTTTGAGAATAATTGTGCAAACTTTGAGAATATTCTCTTCACAGGCAAGAGATGTTAGAAGTAACCAAGAGAGTAACCAAGAGTCCTTGTTGCCTGCATATTGTTTCAGAGTGTAATGGAGGCAGGATGCTGCAGATGAAGCAATAGGTTCTCTCAAGTGATACACTGCCAATAGTTTTACTCAGGGTTGCTCACAGACTCATGGATAATAGGGACAGCTTAAAATTTTTGTCTTTCATCTTAGCCATAGGTGAACACAGTGAACTAAAAGCTGCATTCGTTCTGTCTGGGTTGCAAACTGTCTTTAAAAGATGTAATTCCTAGATTGCAAAATGTCCTTAAAGGATATAATTCTGGTCTTATAATCTTGCTTGATAATGCAGTGATTGCCAAAAAAATAAAAATAAAATTTAAAAAAGCATTTATGGCTCTGATTAATGCCAGAACCAAAATATTTCTTAGAACAGAAAAAAGTGTGACCTCTGCAATAGGTGGAGGATATAGGTGCCCTCAGCTTCACACTGTAACTGCAATGCATCTGAATCTAGCCTTGGCAAAGTCACTGGAAGGCTGCACTTACAGGGCTCAGAATAGGCAGTTTTATGGATAACAGTTGAGTTAACCATTCCTTTGTTAGGATGATCACTGACTCATAGACCCCAACAGCTGATTCATGTTTCATGGAAGCCATTGATAGAAAATAACCTCCTAATAGCAAGGAACCACACTCTAAACTTTTGCAATCTGTTAGGTAGATGTGTAGTTGGCATTGGGGTGGGTGGGAGAATACCTTTGTTATTGTTGTCGTTTTTGGACACTTCATGAAATATAGAGGAAGAATTGGGAAGATATGCTTTGTGTATGTTTTCTGTACACATGTTGTTCTCTGAATTGTCTGGAACAAGCCTTGTTGTCTCCTTATAGCAGTGTTTGCAAATATCCGTGTTTTTTCATTCAAAGGAAATGTCAGCTGAAACCTCTGCACAGTTACTTTGGTGATGTATGAAAAGAGCAAGTCAAAGAGTTACTCATACCCAGTCTTTTGCTTTGTCCTTTGCAGAACAATCTTCCGCATCCACTGTGCCCAAATACTGAAAGATATAAAAGGAATGCTTTTTTTGTACTTCCTCTTTTGCTCCATATGCAACTACTAGACAGCCTCTTACCTGGTGTTCCCTGCATATTTATTCCTTCCAATTTCAAAAGAAAAATTGCAATGGAAGGAAGAAAAAAAGGAATCGAAGAATTGGCTCTGACCTCCCACCTTGCCCCCAATACCTTTTTGCAACTCTGTATGGTGACCATGAGTTTCTGAAGCTCACTGTACTCTGCGAAGAGCAGTTTGCAAATCATTGTGTAATGACTAGCAGCTTCAGAAGGCTTTAGGAAGTGATCTTCACAGAGCTAAAAAGGAAAAAGAGTTGTCAGTACTCGATTCATAGTTGCAATACCTATATTAGATTATACAACTTTTTTCAAATCTATTCAAACTCTGAAGACAATATAACAGGGGCGGAAGGGGAACAATAGACTCAGTTCATACTGGGGGCAGTGGAAAGAGAATAGACACTTTAGAGCAGCTGTTCCCAACCTTAGGTCCCCAGATGTTCTTGAACTAAAACTCCCAGAAGCCGTCACCACTAATTGTGCTGGCCAGGATTTCTGGGAGTCATACTCCAAGAACATCTGGGGATCCAATGTCAGGAACCACTGCTTTAGACAAAGTAACACAAAAAAAATTATATCGTTTTGTTTCACTGTCTTGCATTCTGCTGATCAAACATGGAATGAAAGGAACAAATGCAAAAGCTAGCCAGACTCAGTAATTAACCTTCAGCCATACACTCACGCTGCAGCAATATATTTTCTATACATATATAGAAAATACCACCCACAAACATAAATGCATTTTCCAAGGGCAGATTAAGAGTGCAATTGCACAGCAGGAAAAATGCAAAGTGATCCACCATGAAGTTGCACCTGGGAGTTCAATTCCCCCCCTCCCCCGAGTGAAGTCGCTTTAGTGGATCACACAAAGAGTCAGCAGAGAGAAGGCATGGAATTGCCAATCTGTGTTTGCTGGCACCTTGTTATGATGGCTTTACTACTCCAAAACAATGGAGACAAAGGGGTGCTCCGTTGAAGACTGCATACTTCTTTCTTTTGACTCTTTTCATCTTAAACTAAATGCATTTGATGCTTTAAAGAGTAGAAACCCTAGCAGTGGAGTGGAAAAGTAGGGATGGGGGGAATGTGAGGCTAGTTTACATTGACTTCTATGTCATACTGCTAATGGAAAAAGAAGGTGAATCAGACTGTCCCAGCGCCAGAACATTTCCCATAACATTTGTCAATGTAGTTATGTTGTACCCTAATATACAGCTATTAACATATTTTCTTTGGGAAGAGGACGGAATAAGTAGTGGTGAAGCATAGGAGGGCAACGTTTTACAAAGCTCTGTGAAGAAAGCATGATGACTGGAAATCATATGGAAACACCCTTCTAACTAAATATAGGATATCACAATATAACACACTGCTAAGATTTGTAGCATTATTTCATCTATCCTCTAGGTATACACACTTTTTTTAAAAAATGGCCATCTTCTGGGGAGCCATCTTATTGTGTGTTGGGAGCCATCAGCACCCCAGTCCACCATATTTTTATAAATAAGGTCTGAAAATTTCTGACATGAGACAGCATGAGAAGGCTTTTTCAGTTAAGAAAAAAGTAAATAAAAATACTTCAGAGGTGAGGGATGCTGGAGCAAATATAACCTTCCAAGACTGGCCATATCCAGTTCCTTAGACCTCTGGAAATTGATCTCTCTATTTGGGATGACATAGGTCTCTGTTTTCACTAATTATATTTTCCCAAAGATTTTACATTTTATTGGCATTTACTTTGTTCTACTCAGCTGGTGTTATTAGTTGTTTCATAATTATTTTATGGCAACAATACTTTTTAAACTGCATTTTACTGGTAACTACCCTAAACATGTAGGATGGCATAGAAATTATCTTAGAACTGCAGAGCTAGAAAGAACCCTATGGACCAATTGATTGAATTCCTTAATGTGGAAAAGATGTCAGCATTATAGTTAAATGGATAGTTTCTCTAATTTAGGTGTCTGAGCTACATGAGAAAGGCTATTTAGGCTGAAATCTTGTACATATTTACGAAGGAGTCCTACTGAATTTAATGGGACTTGCATGACTATATCAGATGCATCAGACATTCTTACATTCATTTGGGCAAGTTGTTAAAATGCATTGTTTTCAGATTCCTTCTTTTCTGTTTTGCTAAATAACCAAATGGCATGGAGACTACAATAAGATATATCACTCAAGACAGTTGTTGACACTAAATATAGATGATAACAGACATACATGGCAAGTCTTAGCAATACAGTACTATAAGAATGTGCTAAGGTTAAACCATCATTTCAAGAAATGCTCTTTTATCCCAGCTGCTAAGCATGTTTTTCTTCTCCAAAAGCCTGCAGTTGTCCTGCCCATTCTTCCCTGTTATTCTGTCATCTGACTGCACAGGCTTAGAACAACTATTTTTCCCACATAAGCCTCAAACTGACCACTTTCAGCACAATGATAAACAATTACTCTGATGATGTAAGTAAAGTTGTGGAAAAAAAATAAGCAGGGAAAATGCCACCTTGATGACATCCTGGAAGGTGACTGCTGTTTTTGTGGTCTCTGTGTCTATCTTGACCAGAAAACGTATGAGCTTCTCCAGGGACTCACTCAGGTCTCTCTCCAGGTGACTCTCAATGCCCCAGTCCAAAGCTTTGTAGATCAGCATTCCCAGTTCTTCTGCAAGCTGCAAGGGAAGTCCCTGAAGACTTAAATCTGGGTATCAAGTTACAGTTCATTTAAGGCAATTAAAAATATACTCTAGGCGGCCAACAACAGAGATAAACACAATAACATAAAATACCTAGGTATTGATTTCTATAAAACTCCTAGGACATTTCTTTTTCTTCTTTTTATTGAAAATACTGATACGTAGGCTGCTCTGGCAGGATTCCTTGAGCCATAAAAACTGCCAGGGCAGTTTGTTACATATCAGTAAGATAAAGACTATCCCTGATCTCAGACTCTCTTTTTTACCACACTCTACCCTATTTTTGCACTTTCTCGTCTAAAATTGGCATTTATCTGACCTCACTTACAGGGAGAAAAATGACTTCAAGTTATTATTTTGTTTGAACGGAAATATTTTATTTATTGACAAATTGAAAGTAAAACTTCCATGTCTCCAGATGCATACTACTTTTACTGAAGGGGGCAGACTTATGGTGAGCTCCGAGTACAGAAAAGTATTTGGTGTCATACCTGATGCAGACTTACAGCTTCTTCTTGAACTTCTAGGGCATTGGAATAAGGTTACGGAGAGCATGTTAATATCTTTGGGACAAACTCTCTTTGGGACAAACCCTTTTCATTCATCCATTGGCAAAATCCTGTTGCTTAACATAGTAAATCACACTAGAATAGGCCCACTGAATCAACGGGGATCTGGTGAGTCACCACTTTTGTACAGGCCATTGATTCAAATGGGCCCAGTCAATGATGGAACTTACAGAAGAGATGACTTACCAAATACCTGTTGATTCAGTGGGCCAACTCTCGTGCAATTTACCTCATTAAGCAACAGGAGTTTGGTCATTGTCTTATTCAGTCATCCTGCTTTTGGATGCAATTTACTTTAGCTATTCAGATCATTCATTTTGGTCCAATGTGTATCTTCAAGGATAGTGCAAAAAAACCCCACAGATTTTAGTGTATCTCTTCCTTAATAATCAGTCAAACAGCTATATCAAATGTAGGTTTCCTATACTAGACTGATATTAAATGTCAACATTTTACCTTATCTTCCAAGGATTCCCTTGACTGTTGGCATATGTGGTCATCTAGAACAAAAATAGAAGAATTTACTTTCATGGTAGTCTTACGTACTAGTTAATGCCCAAGAAGACAGTGGAGATTATGGTTTACTGATTGACTCTTAGGTTTCCTTGATAAACATTTTTCTTCCTCTTCTGAAAAGCATGTTGTGTTGATATTTTCTGCCTTCAAGTTGGAAACTGACTTGTAGTCATGCTAATAGGTTTTTCAAGGCAAATGAGATGTTTAAGGAGCGGTTTTACCAGTTCCACATTCCCAGTGAACTTCCATGGCTGAGCAGGGATTCAAACCCAGACCTCGAGAGTCCTCATCTGTTACTCTACCCACTACACCACACTGGGTATCATCAAGATATCTACTTTTGCATAAGCATTTATTGCAACTTGGTAGGTACCTCCAAAATATTTAAGAACAACAACTTCCTTCATGATTGGTCAGCCTAGCCCTTGGGAAGGTACCAAGACTGGGAGGATGGACAAGTATTGTGTGATTATTGTGCCACTGAATTCACTGGGTTGGGGTAACTATGTAGCCCTATATAAAGGGGTTTGGTTTATTTGCTTATTTTGTCTTCTTTCTTCAAGTGAAGGGACTCAATTAATTCTTTAAAGTTAAGAATCATAATAAAGTAGAGGAGGGACCCTAAGAATGCTCCTCACTTAGCAACTAGACAGCAAACTGGACATAAACATGGGTCCTCTGGTCATACTCTTCTCCAATTTGATGAGGCATTCAGATTTCTGTTTAAATTATTGTAATCACTTTCACATTTGCTTATCTACACATGCAACATTTTGAAGATCTTTCATTTAGCCTTTTTTGTTTTGTTTTTGAGGGAGGGAAGTATATGGTCATCCTAGTTTCTTTCTGAGCACTAGTAGATTCTCTTCTGTTTCTCTGTATACACTACTTACATATGGAAGAGGATGGCTATCTTCTACTTCCAAACTCACAACTTCCATGGGGAAGGGTTCTAATGACATTATAACCAGATTTGAACACACCTGGTTACAAGAGGGAGGAGGGATCTATGACAGACTGGGGAGATCAGTTAGGTAAAGGTCTGTAAGTATATAATTCCTGAACAAAGCATGTGATGAACCCAGGAAGGGTTGTTCAGTGCTAAGTAGTTTCCAGAAGAATGAACAACCTTCAATTGGAAAGTGAGAAAATATTTTAAGAGGAGTAAACAGAATGACAATATACCCTCTGTTGTTTTTAATACAATAGCTTTCAGACAATATTTTTCCTCATAGTCATAAAAAGCAACTGTTATGTGAAAGGAACTACCGTTGACTTAGATATATATTTATTTGCATAAGTCAAAAGAGTGGTGTAGTGCCAGCACAAGAGAAACTATTGAGATATAATTGCTTGCCATCAGAGCAACCTTTTCAATCATCTTATTACATTGGCTTTTCAAAACTTTGTTGACCTTTCTTGGCTTTGGAAAAGGGGAAGATGGATCAAATTAAAATTTAGTATAATGCTATAGCATTAACATTATTAACAAGACACCCATCCATAATGCTTAATAATAGTGTTAGATAAGTTGCAGTTATTTCCAGTTCTTCAGTTTCACTTTGTTTCCTTAATGTTTTTTAAAAATCTGGTAAAATCTGACTGCATAGGTGTTGAGATTCAGCTAAAATCAATGGGACTTCCTTTTGAACAAGCTGATTGAAGACTTAATTGAAAAGACAGCATGTAAAAATATTGTAAAAGTTAGAAAAAGAGAACACACATACTTTAAACATGGTAAAACAATTCACGCTAACCTCCAACATCATTCTTACCAGAGTTATGTGGCACACTGAAAGACACACTACCATCAGAATGGATGTAGAGGTTATCAATATCTAAGACTACCATTTGTAACAGAGAGTCCAATCCTTGAGCTAACATCTGATTCATTTTACAGCAGGACTGGAAACAGATAGCCCAGGCTTGTTCTTCACTTATGGCTTGCTCATAATATCTCAGAAATTCAGCTAGCGAGACCTTTGTAAGGTCTTTTGTACATATCACTGTATTTGGTGGTTTTCTCTCGCCTACCATTGTTATTTTGTTTTAAGCAATTAATTTTTTTAAGAATACAAAACCCTTCACCACCATCTTTAGAGCACTTTTATTTGTTCATACTTTGGCTTCACCAGGTGAAGCTGATGTGGAAAAAATCCTTTCCTTAAAGAAGAAGTAACTGCTTGATCTTTAGAGTCACTCCTTCAAAGTAAAAGTCAGTTAATCTCTAGTAACCAAATGTCTCTACAGTAATTTGGCAGTATATTGATCTGGCCTCTCTTCCACGGTAACTGAAATATGATGCTGGCCAGACTAAAAGAGTAGCCCTTAATAAGGCTGGGCAGGATCCATAGAAAACATTTCATTTACTGTATTGTGCTTCTTAGTTTTGACATGTTGAGTCGCAGAAAATATACATTGGTACTGCTTTGTTATTGTTTTGCTAGTAGCAGTTACTGGTTTTACCAGTTCCACTCTTCCGTGAGTTTCCATGGTTGAGTGGGAATTCAAAGCCAGGTCCTAGTCTGTTGCTCTATCCACTTCACCACACTGGGCATCACAATTAAGCATATTGCACCATGATAAAAAGTATCACAACTTCCCACAGATTTTTAATTTTGGGACCACAAATATTTTAACTCTAAAATTACATGGAATTATGAACAGTGAGTGTGCCTGGGCCCATGTAGACAGCTGGTCTGTACAAGTCTTCTTACATATATTTTTAGCTCTAGTGAAATGAGTTAAATTGGTAGTAAGTACTGTCAGGTTCAGAGACTTTCAAATCTAATTTGGACAATTGTAGTGTATGCATAAAAATCCAAATCAGTTTACTGTGACGTCCTTTATAAAAGGGAAAAAAAAGTTACATCCTACATGTAAGAAAAGACATGGCCTTGGATTATGTTGCTACAATCTGTTCCTACATCACAAACATGGAAAATAGATTTACCTCGTTATTAGTTTGTTTGTTCTGGCTGTTGCAAAAACTATTGTCATCATACCTTTACTGGACAAACCTGATGTGCAATTAGGGAGGTAGCAGAAAAGTAAAAATTTTAAGAGCTTGCAGTTTTTCTTTTCTCACTTTTCAGGTGGCAGTGTAGGTGACACCTACAGTATGACAGTTTAGGAAGAAACAGAAATTAGGTACTCAGTGTCATTTTGTTTGTTCTGGCTGTTGCAAAAACTATTGTCATCATACCTTTACTGGACAAACCTGATGTGCAATTAGGGAGGTAGCAGAAAAGTAAAAATTTTAAGAGCTTGCAGTTTTTCTTTTCTCACTTTTCAGGTGGCAGTGTAGGTGACACCTACAGTATGACAGTTTAGGGAGAAACAGAAATTAGGTACCCAGTGTCATGTAGTGCACTGGTTCATAACCTTGGGTGACTCAGGAGTTTTGGACTGCAACTCCCAGAAGCCTTCACCATCAGCCTTCACCACTCTAAGTACCTCATTTACCGTGAAAGTCCTATTTACACCTCACCTGAGTAACAAAGGTTAAGAACCACTGATGTAGTGGACAGAGTGACAGACAGAGACTCAGGAGACCTGGGTTTGATTCCCTGCTTGGCCATGGAAACTCTGTGTTTGTGTGTGTAACTAGTAAAACCACTATTTAAGTACCTCATTTACCGTGGAAGTCCTCTTAGGACACTGTAAGTCAGTTCTGAGTTGACAGCAGGTAACACAGAGAAAGGTTAAGAACCACTGATGTAGTGGACAGAGTGACAGACAGAGACTCAGGAGACCTGGGTTTGATTCCCTGCTTGGCCATGGAAACTCTGTGTTTGTGTGTGTAACTAGTAAAACCACTATTTAAGTACCTCATTTACCGTGGAAGTCCTCTTAGGACACTGTAAGTCAGTTCTGAGTTGACAGCAGGTAACACAGAGAAATTAAGTGCAGATTTCTAATTTGAATCAGGAGGCCTAAGAGAGAGTTTCTGAGGTTCAGATGAACAGGACCAGAACCGATGCAAGGGACTGTTGGAGTTCACTCTGAAGTGCTGGGAATTCAGAGGAGGACTAGCAGCTTTTCCATGTGCTTTAGGAGTGTGTTTACATTCCACAGACTCAACAATAGTCAGAATCTTAAACCAACACACAAAAATAATGTCAGTAAACATTAAAATTAAAATATGAAAAAGAAAAAGATGGCGGGGTTGGACATTAACTGTTGAATCAAGATAAAGTAGAGTCCAGGAAGGCCTGTCTGAATAAAAACATTTTAAATAATCACTTAAAAGTTCTCAGTGAGGGCACCAAGCAAATGTTCAGTGGGAGAGCATTCCACAATTGTGGGACTACTGCTGAGAAGGCCCAGTTTCTGATTTCCAAGCCTCTCTCAGGGTCAAAACCCTCAACCGCCCAGCCTGGGAAGATCTTATAGGATGAGCAGATCTGGTGGGAAAGGAGGAATTCTATTGCCTGCAGCATTTCTGTCTTGTCCGGGTTCAGCCTCAGTCTATTATGCTTCATCCACCCCAGTACGGCGTCCAGGCAGTGCTCAAGGGATGGGACAGCATCCACTGCAGAAGGGTGGAAGGAGAGATAGAGCTGGGTATCATCTACATATTGATGACACGAAGCTCCAAAGCTCCTGATGATCTCCCTCAGTGGCCTCATATAGATATTAAATAGCATTGGGGAGATTATTGATTACCGTGGAGTGGACGTTTCCCCAAGCTGCACTCTCTGTTGTTGAGGATTTATATGTGTAAAAATTACACACTGTAAATTATTGCTAACTAATGAGGCAGGAAACATGGGTTCCGACCCCGGCTTGGCCACAGAAGCTCCGGGGGGGGGGGATGAATAAAGCCATTTCATAAATACTGTATTTTTCTATGTATATAACACCCCCACGTAAAAGTCAACCCCAATTTTGACCCTTGCAGCAGCATGAGGTATGTATATAACACCCCCACATATGTCACCCCCAATTTTGTCCCTTGCAGCAGCATGAGGCGGAGGTGGAGGAGGAACCACGCTTGGCTGCCCCTTGTGGCCGCCCGATCGCCTCCTCAGGTGCCACCTACAGACTTTCTTCGGGCAGGGGACAATGTGGTGGGTGGAGGAGGAACCACGCTTGGCTGCCCCTCCTGGTCGCCCGATCGCCTCCTTCAGTGCCACCTGCAGACTTCCTTCGGGCAGGGGACAAGGCAGTGGTGTGAGCTTGAGGTGAGCCCCAGCAGTGGCGCTGGAGGAGGCGATCAGGTGGCCACAGCCGCAGTCAATGGGTAGCTGCGACGGGTGGCTGAACGCAGCTGCTCCTTCGCCTCTGCCTCCACCTCCTGCTGCTGCCACCGCCGCCTGATCACCTCCTCCAGCGCCACTGCTAGGGCTCATGTCAGGTTCATGCTGCCTCCTTGTCCCCTGCCCATAGGGAGCCTGCAAGTGGCACTGGAGGAGTGATTGGGCAGCGGCGACAGCATATTGAACCACTTTGTCCAGATCAACTGACTTCCTAAACGATAGAACTTGTCTCTCCCAAATTAAAATTTCAGTTTGTTCTCCTTTATCCACCATGGTGCCAACTCAAGGGTTCCTCAGTCTCTCTGGGGTCCTCAGACAGAACAGAGTGAGGTAGTTATGCAAACCAATTAACATACCAACAGCACTGAGGACTGTGCCAGTGGCTTCATATAGATGCTGAGAGCATTGGGGAATAGGATAACTCTTCCAATGATGGCACTCTGATCCAAACCCCACATATGTCCAGACCCTTCTGAATGCTGAGGGTCAGCTGGCATTTATATGTAATGGGCTTGTTATGAAATAGACTCATTCCCATGAAGTGCCCTATAAGTATTCCACACTGCTACATGCTTCCTTGCTTGGTTCTTAACCCGTGTAGCACAACTACCCCTCTCAAGGACTGCGCCACACCTCGGATTGCTGTGCCTATGTGCTACACAATGGCAAATGCTTTAGTGACCTGCAAAAGGTGCCATGGTTAACAGCCCTGTCCAAGCCTTGCAAGATGCATTTACACAGGACAGTTCTCCAGGGACTGGTCCCGCCACTACGACTGCAGCCTCACAAAGCAGCCGCTAGGTGGTGGGCAGGGTCGCGCCGGTGAATCCTCCTCCCTCCTCAGGCACCCTTGGTTGCGTCCACTCGTCGACCCCTTCTCTCCCAGCGATTTGGGCTAGTCCGGACCCGCCCCTCTGGAAAGATGGCGGCGCCCGGAGGAGCCGAGGCTACATGGAACCGCTTAGTGGTCCCTTGGCCCGCCTGCAGCGCTGCCGTAGCCGTGCCGGCCCAGCACGTCGCAGGTAAATAAAGACGCTCGCTTTGTAAGGGAGGCCGATCGTCTTACTTGAACGTGGGGACAGCGTGTCAGCCACTTGCCTGACGGTCCCTCCCCCTGTGATCGAGACACGTGTACAGGTATTTGGTTGGTGGCTTGCTCTGACTCTGGAACTTGGCTGCGGGTTGCAGAAACGAAGGGCAAGGCGGAGCGGGAAAGTCGCGTCTTTTTCTCAAAGCGATCGGTGCCTACTCGGAAGCTACTTTACTTTGTTTCCGCCAGAGGAGCTTCGGCTGGCTCCGAATATGAGGTTTCTTTACTTAAAATATATATATTTTGTACCCCGCTTTTCTCCTTCAAAAGGATCCAGGGCGGCTGATAACAGTGAAAAACGGTATGTAAATTTGAAAGCAGTGAGGATACAACGGTGGTTAACAACATTAAAAGACAACATTTAAGGCTAAGAGCGATGAGTAAAGAAAGAGGTGTCCCACTTCGTTAAAAGGCAGTATACATTAAAAAAGAAAAAGCCAGTTCCACTCTGAGAAATGGAAAACACCGAAAAGGAAAACACGAGTAGTTCTAAAAATGCCATCAGAGCCCCTTGCCTTTCGCCGCTTTCGAGAGAAGGGGGGGGTCGTCAGGACCACAAATACACTAGGGACTGGAGCCCTTGTTTCCCTTGGAAGGATAAGCCCCTTGGAGGCGGGCATTGCCTGGGCGGATGAGGTGACCCGGGAACTTCTCCTTTGCCCCTTTTCTCTGGCTACAGGTAGACAACAACAAGTCTCCAGGGGAGCAGCTTCTACTTTTTTTTGAGGGCTCTGCCCTTGAACAGGAGGAACCCCGCTGCCTTTTCTGTGCCCCCAACTGTGTGTACCAGAGGCAGCTGCTGCACTTGTCACGCTAGTGTTACAGCTCTGGTATTCACATGTTAAGGTGGGCAGGGCAGGGGCCAGAAGCCAGCTATGTCCTGACAGTCGAATTGGCTCTGAATAAGGGCGTTGGAGCCACGTCCCACTGCAGGGGATGCCGCCTCCACTGCACTTGGCCACACCCATTCCACACATACACACAGAGAGAATTTCACACATACACTTACCACCCGTAATAGGCAGAGCATGGAAACAGTTTTGCCTTCCATTTGCCATTCCTAGTAGGGAAGGTTTACTTTTTGGGCGACTGTTGTTTAGTCGTTAAGTCATGTCCTACTCTTTGTGACCCCATGGACCAGAGTACGCCAGAGCCTCCTGTCTTCCACTGCCTCCCAGAGTTGGGTCAAATTCACGTTGGTAGCTTTGATGACACTGTCCAACCATCTTGTCCTCTGTCGTCCCCTTCTCCTCTTGCCTTCACACTTTCCCAACATCACAGTCTTTGGAACTATAGTTCCCAGAATCCTCAAGCCACTTTTCCAGGCTGTGTTTGTTGCACTTCTGTTCAGCTCATGGGTATTGCATTCAGATTCAGATAGTGATTTTGCAGATAAAAATGCTGGACTTGATTTTTTTTTTGATCTAATGCAATTCTGTGTTCTTTGTCATCACTCTTTGTCCCTGTCATTACTCCAACCTCTGATATTCCTGAGTTTTCTGAGGCTTAGATGACTCTTGGGATGTTCTGTGGAGCTTCTTTTAGTGCCATCCACGAAAACAAACTGAACTTTAAGTTCTGAAAACTACCTAAGAAGGGTATTAATTTGCAGGGTGAAGTTTCTTTAATGTTCTTCAATGTGGAGGAATTTAGTATGCTATTGGAGGTCTGAAAAAAGTGTAGGGCAGTTTTTGTTTTAAGCCGGTCTTCTCCAGTGTGGTTCTCTTCAGATGTTATCAACTGTGGCTCCTATCAGTATGGCCAGTGGTTGATGATAGAAGTTGTAGTCCAAAACATCTGGAGTACAACATAGAGTAAAATTCATCTAAGCAGTTACCTTGTAGTCAGAGTGGATTAAAACTGATGTTTTTTTAAAAAATTGAAAATTGGATTTTTAAAATACCAGAACACAGTGATCTGTTGGAGGAGGAAAGAACTCTCCACTGCTCAGTCAGCCCCCAGCAAGCTAGTGTTTTTTTTTCTTGTGGGTTGGAAACTTTTGTGGGCTTACATAGACAGCTGATAAAGAACTATGAAGAGCAGCTGGCCTTGAGGTTTTGCACAATTCCAAGTAAATTTCCTTGTTTATCTTTTCTAGTGAGCCACTTTTCAGCCGTTAAAAAGGAGTGTCATCATGCCGTCAACGCTCTAACTAAGAAAGCTGTGATTGCAGAACAGAGCCTCCTGCATTCCATCCTTTATTCCTTTCGCTACCAGATGAGTCGTCATAGGCCATACCAGTCTCTCAAACAGGCATGAACTTAAAAATTATAAATATATAGTAGATGGTTAACACTGGAGAATGTTGTGAACTTGCTTTCCAATTATGGAGGAAAAATATTAGATATTGTCTGAAGAAGTGTATTTTGGATAAAGTGATATTTGTGTTTGCAAAAGAAAACACTGTATAACAGTTTTCAAAGAGATGGTCATGTTAAATCTGTCTTATAACAAAACAGTAAAAAGAGTCTTACAGTAGCTTTAATACTGACAGATTCATTGTAAGAATGATTTTGCTTGCATGGAAAATTAATGCTATGGTCATAGAGGTTCCTGCAGTCTTTGGTATATCTTTTGATCTTGAATGTTTCTGATTTATGGGCCACTGTTTTGTTTTCTATATATGTTGGTATATTCTCATAAATTCAGTCTCTGTAGCTTAAATAGCTTTGCTGTTCATGGTGATTTATTTCTTCCAAATGCTCTGTGAGTAGCTTTGTGAGTACTTTCTAAATTGCATGTTCTTTGTCAAAAAGATTCATTGAAGGAATGGTATTTACACACACATGGCAGTAATAATACATAGTGGCTGAAATACTGTAGGTTCATGTAGTATGTCATAAGTAGGCCCATTGAATCAATATAATTTATAGAGGAGTTGGCTCAACAAACCTCCAGTGATTCAATGAGCCTACCATAGCTACAACCAATTATGCTAAACAACAGGATTTCAGCTACTGAGTACATAGCGGTTTTATGTATTTGAACCACCTCAGATGGCTTATTAAGTGTGTGTTGTGTGTTTAGGGATATATTTATGTTCTAAGAATCTTTTGTAATGTGTGGACCCTATTCACTTAAGTATCAGAAGGTTTTTCAAAAATTGTCATTAAAAAGAGCGGGAAATTTGATAACAGGAATTTTTTTAAAAGGGTATGGAAATGTATGGGACGTGGTTGCGCTGTGGGTTAAACAGCAGAAGCCTCTGTGCTGCAGGGTCAGAAGACCAGCAGTCAGAAGATTGAATCCATGCGACGGAGTGAGCTCCCGTCACTTCTCCTAGCTCCTGCCAACCTAGCAGTTTGAAAGCATGCAAATGCAAGTAGATAAATAGGTACCACCATGGTGAGAAGGTAACGGTGTTCCGTGTCTAGTTGCGCTGGCCACGTGATCACGGAAACTGTCTTCAGACAAAACACTGGCTCTATGACTTGGAAACAGGGATGAGCACCGCACCCTAGAGTCAGACACGACTGGACTAAATGTTAAGGGGAACCTTTACCTTTATCAAGGTGGAAATGTATCTTCCGTGTACACACAGTTGCCACCTGCTGGAGTCTTATCACATCCTGGCAGAACTAAAACAAAAGAAAAATGTCAGCAGTGATGAACCAACAACTATTACTTGAGACTGTTGGTATAAGTGTAAGTGGGGTGGGCAGTTTTGAAAACAGTGGGCTTTGATTTTCAGTTTCTCTCTATACGTTCTGTGGCAGAGCTGGGGACTGCTTGGCCCCTGAGATATTGGTGACCTGGAAGACCCATCATCCTTCACCACTGGTTAGGATGATTGGGACTGATGGCAGACTCCAACAGAATCTAACATTGGCCTTGTTCTGTAGGGCAGGCTGTGGTGAGGGCCAGAGGGTGCAAAATCTGCTACATTCTCCATACATGAAGGGATGCCGTATCTCCTTGTGCAAGGTGGGAGCTTCAGGTGAAGGAAGGTCTCACAGTTAGACACATAACAGTGGTGCAGCCGAACTCCTTGAATGTTTCTGATTTATGGGCCACTGTTTTGTTTTCTATATATGTTGGTATATTCTCATAAATTCAGTCTCTGTAGCTTAAATAGCTTTGCTGTTCATGGTGATTTATTTCTTCCAAGTGCTCTGTGAGTAGCTTTGAGAGTACTTTCTAAATTGCATGTTTTTTGTCAAAAAGATTCATTGAAGGAATGGTATTTACACACACATGGCAGTAATAATACATAGTGGCTGAAATACTGTAGGTTCATGTAGTATGTCATAAGTAGGCCCATTGAATCAATATAATTTATAGAGGAGTTGGCTCAACAAACCTCCAGTGATTCAATGAGCCTACCATAGCTACAACCAATTATGCTAAACAACAGGATTTCAGCTACTGAGTACATAGCGGTTTTATGTATTTGAACCACCTCAGATGGCTTATTAAGTGTGTGTTGTGTGTTTAGGGATATATTTATGTTCAAAGAATCTTTTGTAATGTGTGGACCCTATTCACTTAAGCATCAGAAGGCATCCTCTAATGCTGTTGCTGACTTAGCTGTCTTGTTATTTGTGGGAATCCCATGAGATAATGTAGTAATATCCAGGGCTCTCCACTCCCAGCTTTCATGGTGATGGGATTTTTACTAGTTGGATGTTGATTTGACTGAACAATTTCTTTGATCTGGAATAGAAAAATTTTTTATCTCAAACAATACTGTATACATATCCCTTACCTTTACACATATTTCACCCACTCTGGCCACATTGCATTGGCTGCCCATCCGTTTCCGCATCGACTTCAAAGTGTTGATGCTCACGTACAAAGCCCTAAACGGTTTAGGGCCTTGATATCTGGCGGAACGCCTACTGCCACCAAAATCCACCCGTGTCACTCGTGCGAGCCAGGAGGTGAGGCTGAGGAGCCTAACGCCGAGGGAGGCCCGGAAGGAGAAAACAAGAAGGCTTATTAAGTGTGTGTTGTGTGTTTAGGGATATATTTATGTTCAAAGAATCTTTTGTAATGTGTGGACCCTATTCACTTAAGCATCAGAAGGCATCCTCTAATGCTGTTGCTGACTTAGCTGTCTTGTTATTTGTGGGAATCCCATAAGATAATGTAGTAATATTCAGGGCTCTCCACTCCCAGCTTTCATAGTGATGGGATTTTTACTAGTTGGATGTTGATTTGACTGAACAATTTCTTTGATCTGGAATAGAAAAAAAAATTATCTCAAACAATACTGTATACATATCCCTTACCTTTACACATATACTGGAGTGTCATTTGTTGAGCAGCAGTGTGCCTTCATTAAAGTTTGCTTTCATAGCTCATCAAATAAATGTATTTTTAATAAAATAAATAAATAAATAAATATACTGGAGTGTCACTTGTTGAGCAGCAGTGTGCCTTCATTAAATGTTTGCTTTCATAGCTCATCAAATAAACGTCTTTTGTCCCTTTGCCCTTTCAGGTGGAACAATGCTTGAAGCGTTTAAATCTAATGAATCTGGAGAAGCCAATTCAAGATCTTATTAATTTGGACTCCAGGTAGTTAACCAGTGAATAATGGACTAGGACTTGGGAGACCTGGGTTCGATTTCCAGGTTCTGCCAGGGAAACTCAGTGGGGAGGGGGATGGAACTGGCAAAACCACTCCTTTAATATTTCACTTACCTTGAAAACTCTGTCAGTTCTCACAGTAAGTAGCAACTAAGCCTGTCTCACCATGTTTGTGTGATTCTGTAGCTTTTATGTTTTATATTGAGGAACCATCAGGTAAAATACTAGAGCTAATTTTACTGTATAGGACTCATACAAGCTGAAATTCAAATACTTTTGGGGCATTAATGTTTTGTGTGCTGAACCAGACCTGTGTTAGTGGAAGCTTTCAAATCCACTGAACAATCTCAGTGCAGTTCAGTTTCAAAGGTACCCTGATTGTGATGAGTTTAGAATGGGCAGCATAATCCCTTTGCACTGGCTGATTTCAGATCTGCTGACACCAGCCAGAAAAAGAGTAAAAACAAAAGGCAGAGAAGAGTGGAGTTACACTCCCCAGATTTTCAACCACTGTGCTAGCATTAAGTTAGCCCAGGATCAAAGTGCCCCTAAATAATTTCCAACATCCTTTGTCTGGTAGGAGTTTGGATCCATCACAGCCTGAGCTGGCTTGGTGTCAGCTCAGCTAACCCTTATCCATCTTGTCCAGATGGGACTGCACCTTTCAATAGATACTAAAAAGATTTGTAATTCAAAATCTTGTGTGAATGGAAGTAAGCTGAAGAGAAGCTGCTGTTTTATTATGTGCAAAATGATTTACATTAAATTGCAGCATTAGAAGCAGCACCTTTGGGCAACTTTATGTGGACAGGCAACATAAGGTGTCCCTAGCAAAGCATTTTGCTTCTCAGCCAGTTATTATGGTATTCTATCAGGTCCTGACCTTATCAGCATTAAATGTGCTGGGATGGCAAAACAACCACACATTATTAATCCTTTCTGTGTCTTTTGTTTATTTTAAATAGGAACCAGAAATCTGAAAATCCAGCAGAATCTTTGATTCCCAGCCAGCCTGTGATAGAAGTGGTGCTAGTAAAGATACTGGGTGGTTGCAAACTTGTTCTGCGTTTACTAGAGTGCTGTTGCACATCATTTCTGTATCCTTCTGAGATAAGATTGTAGAAAATAACTTGGATGCTCTTGCAGTTCTTAATCAGAGATGCAGAATGACATGGGTAGTTACTTTTTATGAAGTTAATCAGGCTGAGAGAGAGAGTGACTGGCATAGACACCCACTGACGTTTCATAGCTTCTTGGAGACTAGAGTGTCTATATATTCCAAATTCCAGTTCAAACTAACCCAAGGAATCATGTTCTGTGTCCGTTTTGTTAAATTTTGCAGTCCTTAATGGCTTCATAATTTCGATGAGGGGTGGGCAACATCAGCAAGCTTTGAGGCTGAATCCTTGACTCCAGACCTGACCATGAGCCATACTGGGCTCAGAAATGGTCATTAGAAAGAAAACAGCAACAACAAGGAAGTACCCAGATGAGCACTTCTGTTTCTATGGTTGAGGTTTTAAGGTGGAAAGACGTCTTGGGGACACCTCCCAGCACGTAAAGTGAAAAATACTGCTCATAGAGGCTTCTGGGGTGGACATAAGTCTCTTTTTTTGGATTTTAATTTTATTAATTATTATTTTTTACTGGGGGGATCTGAGTGGTCTTGGGGCTGCGAAGGTATCCTGGGGCACCATATGCAACCTGCAGGTTACCCTTTGCCCACAGCTTGTTTAGAATAAATGTACTTTATTTTAAAATTATATCTGCTTTCAAAAAAGATTGTTCTTAGTTAAAATTGTGACTTTCAAGTTTTGTCTCCAGCACTGCCTTAAAGATCTCTGACTGCTAAAGCCTACTCTGCATTACTGTAGTGTTTAACATTGTTTTTTGCCTTTTTTGGTCAATTGTTCAAACTTAATCAACATCTTCAGTTTGTCTGTTAAGCACCTGCATTTAGAAGAGTACATACTGTTGAATACTCTGGTGTTGGGGTTGCTGAGCCGATTATGGTATGTATATTTCTAGAATGCCTTAATTGTTTTACTTGTCTGCTCTTTTGCATTTCTTCAGGAGGGAAATGTGTTTAATATGTTCTCTGTTAATGGTGGATTGTTATATGCGGTCAAGTTGAAATTGACTTGAGCAACCCTGATAGGGCTTTTAGGATACTGGGTATCTTATCAGTGGGTAGTCACCATTTAAATGTGGTTTAGATATCATGGTTTTGGAGCTGGAGGTAGCGAGTTTGATTCCCCACTGTGCTTCCTAGGAGAAGAGCCGGCCTGTGTAGTCATGGGCAAGCTGCACAGTCCCAGGGCACAGGGAATGGTGAACGTTTGTGTATTCTCTACATAAAAAACCCTGGAAAGTGTCACTATGAGTCCCAATTGATGTGATAGTACACAAAACACATACTGAAAGATGGCGGCCATCAGTGGAACTAGGAAGGGGACAATTTTCCCATTTTCCCTTTAGCCAGCTGCATACATTTGGAGTCTGATACGGAAGACTGCGGGACACTTTGTACCAGATTTTCCATAATGCAGGAGATCACAAAGGAAGGAGAAAAGCCCACTGTGCAAGTAGAAGTCCATTCCTCCACTCAGTAGCAAGGTGGAGGCATTCTGATAGAGACATTGTTGTTTCCCTGTTAGATTTGTTGCAACAGAGAACACATGTTCTGTGTACAGAAGGACCCCCTATTCGTGGGATCAGTATTAAAAAAAAGTGTGTTGCTTATATCCATGGATTCACTTCTCTACTTCCTGAAAATATTAAATTAAAACCCCCAGAAATACACATTTACACATATTTTCAGAGTGTATTTACAAGAATTGGACACTAAAGGGAGCCAGAGACCATGTGTTCACTATTTCTGCATTTTGTGGCATCCGCAGGGAGGTTTGGGAACAATCCATGTGGATACTGTGGTCCTACTGTATTTCTGTAGAACAAACAACACTGCAGTTGTAATTATTGCCATTGTGTATTTCTTGTTCAGTGACTTGTAATGAATTCAGTTACAACTAAAATAATCAGAACAAAGAATTTCAAGTGTTGATAACTGAGAAAATGGGTTTGCTTTGGTTCCCTTCCACCTGTACTTCCCCTTGTCTTCGGTTAGGTAATGAACATGTACTATGCAGTGCTACTGACTGGTGTAATAAGTAAATGAGAGTAAGATACATTGTCTGCCCTTCAGTCTGCTGTTGCTTTATGTACATCATATGATTGGTGCACGATAAGGAATACAAGTGGCCACTTCCTAAATATCAGCAATTCACTGCTGTGATTTTGGCTGGTGTATTTAACAATAGTCTATGTAGGCAGTAGGATTCTAGCCACAGATAATCACAGGGAAAATCCAGGTTAGTTCATTTTGCATAGAATAAAACTAGCAGTGATGGAAATGATGTTTTGGAAGGCCTGGTATGGAAGAGACAAGATACAAGGAAACGTCAGTTATCCAACACTTCATTGTTTTGTTTCTTTGCTGTTTCAGGATTCTTTTTAGAGGCCTGTTAAAAACTCTGAGTTCCTTATATAAGAGTTTACTTGAATTGCTTCAGAAGGTTTCAGAGATACAACCAAGGCCTTATATTAAAGGATTTGCTTTTCCTTCTGACATAAATGAATTTCTGGGAACCCCTGCTTCGGAGATTAAGAAGAAAATGCCTAGAGGATTTGTAATCAAACAAGCTGGAAGTGGATGGATGAACCGATTGTTCACGGTTAGGAAGACTGCACCTCAGTCTCTGGCTTTGACTGCAGCAGCTCCTGCAAGAGTGAGAAAGAAGATGAGGAGTTCCCAGAACACGCTGGATATTGGGACACCAGTTCTGGTCAAGAGAACTGACCAAGGTAATATACGCAAACTGAACTTCTCATTGGAATCTGCTACTATGGACCTATTGTATTTTGTGTGTAACTTGACCTGGGCTGAGTAGGAGGGCAAAATGGGAATATTTATTTGCAATGATTTGTAGCATTAATGCCCTCATGCCAAAGGAAAAGAAGGACAGTTACAAGGCCCTCATGTCATGAAGTTTCTTCTACCTCCTGAATGCCAAATGGTGAAGAAAAGCCTGATAGAGCTGGCTTCTCAGGAAGGCTGACAGAAGAGAGGCTTTCACCATCCTTTATGTTTGTTGCAGATGGTTTGGAAATAACCCTTAGGTTTGGATTTCCCAAACGTGCACCTTGAATAGAAGTACTTCTGAAGTCGGCCAGAGTGATTTTGATTAAAGTTACTGCTCAGCACTGTGCCTAAGTTAGCTGTTCCTGTTATCAGACAATAACTGTTCCCTTCCTTCTAGTTCTTGGAAAGGAGCTGAAGTTTGACATCAAGGCTTTATGCAAGTACCCTAATTCTGCCTTACAGGAGGTTTGTTCCATTTTGTTTGTATCTTTTTTTTGGGGGGGGGACATGTTGGGTCAGGCTTGGATCTGTGACCATGTATCAGGCCTGAAACCATGGAGTGCTGTGAACAGCATGTCTATTTTCCTTCATATTGCTGCCTAGGGAAGGGACACCAGTGAGAAAGTAGAACAGAACAAGCCACTTGCCTGAGCTGGGATATTGAAACTTTTGCCTTCCTTGTGGTGAGGGACACATCACTATGGCTAATAGTGTGGAATAGTGGGAGTTTCAGACCAACATCATCTGGAACAGTCATTCTCAACAAGGGTTCATATGACCCCCTGGGACCCCCTGAAAACAGCTCTCCACACACCACCTTATAAGGTTCATTATGTGACTTAAACAATCCTGATTTGGCCTGTACTTCTTATTGTGTTTATGGCTGTGACAAAAAAAGTGGAAAATGGCTGATCTAGAGCAGTAGTTCTTAACCTTGGGTTACCCAAAGTTGGGAGCCACTGATCTATGGCTACATGCTCTTCAGCCCTTATGTGTTCAGATAAACATCTTGATCTGTCCCCTTTTTTTCCCAAATGGAAAAAAAGTGATGCTAAGTGCTTCATGGAAGCCAAACTTCAGTGGCTAGTATCTGAACCCCTTCTTGGGAATGAGTATAACACAATGGTCAATGACATGTTTTGAATGCAGGGGGTTCCAGGTTTGCCTGGTATCTCCTTTACTGTTTAAAATGTTTAATTGGAATTGAATATTTTTGACTTTTCAAAATTTCTTCTTTCAAATTTAATTTCAGAATGTCAAATTCAGAGTAGAATCTCCTGAATCAAAAAGGAGGCCCACTTCTAACTCACTGAGGTGTCAACAGCTTAAACCTTTTGTGTCCAAATTTCAAGAGGCAAGCTCCTTTGAAGAATTGACAGACACACTGAAAACAACAATTCTCTGGTGCAAAACTAACAAACTTGGACCAGAAGCTTTCTTCTTGGGAATGAAGCTTCTTAAAAGTAGGCGGCTGCAGCATGTGGAAGCACAGGGTTGCAGGTCTGTATTATTATCAATATTATTCTGGTTGCTGATTCTCCATCTTCAGTTCTCTTGTTGTCTGTGAGCCTTCACTTTCCCATCTCCTCCTCCAACCTAATCACATTTCCTGGGCTCTTCACTGCTTCTAACCTCTTGTCTGATGGCAATAAGGTTTCAGGATTCTTTTTGAGGTTCTGTTTCAGTTGAAATGACAAGCTCTCCTAAAGAATTTAAACTGATTTGTTAACTCCTGCAACTAAAGGAAATGCGTATAAGGACCAGGATACTACAAGGAGCACAGACACCTAGATAGATCAGCCCTTCTTTTTGTTTTCCTATTCAGTTCCTAGGAGGTACTTGTGGAGAATTTTTGAAGTGCTGATCACACAGGACTGTCCCTTGCTTTTTTCTCCTCTGAGCTTCCCGATATTACTTTTCCTGCCCAAATAAATGTTTTGGGAGAAGGCAACCTTGAATGAAATGATCATGTCTCACTAAAATATTTCCACAACTATTTTACAGTGGGGAGCCAACCACAGAATTATTTGTTAGCACAGCATCTTCTGTAATTTATCACTGGTGGAAGAATGGCCAAAAGTACATTATGCCTATTACTTGTAGGCTATGTGCAAGCCAGACATAGGGACTGTAGGAGATTCACAGTCTGGATATTGCAAATAAAGTTTGGAGGTTCAAGTTCATCTTTGAAGGCACAGTATTAAACCACTTCTGTATCTTACTTGAGATTTTAGATTTTTTCTGGCAAACTCCCTAACACTTGACCTTGCATTAAAAAAATCACCAGTTACAAGAATAACTCTTCAGAAAAAAATATTACACATTTTCTCCTCAGCTTCCTAATCTTCTTTCTCTTACAGATTGCGGAGAAAACTTGGCTGTATGAAAGCTACTCTTTGTAAATATCTCACACTTTCAAACTGCATAAGGAGACCAAACAAAATGCTCAGAGCATATTGGTTTCTACGAAAGCATCACAAACTATTGAAGCAGCCAAGATGTGTTTCAAAGAGAACACCAACAAACACTCCTGTATTTGCCAAGGGTCAGTGGTCTAATTCCTTGCCTCAAGTGTTGACTGATGCCACTGGAAGCAGGACTGAAACTACTGAAGAACAAGGCCTTGTGGCAGTAGAAAGAAATTCTACACATATACAGAGGAACAAAGCTGAGAATAAAGATGATATTGATGATATTTTTAAAATAATAGGTCTATAATACATTTTATTAAACTAACTTCTAACTAGTCCCATTTTTCTTTGTATACTTTAATTAAAAACAAGTTTTTGATAAATATGAGCAGATGAAAGTAACTGTTGCTGTTCTTGCTTTTTATGTTTTGGTTAAGTATTATATTGTAAATTTTGAAAACTACATCAAGGATGGCGGTGTGGAGAGAATAAAGGACTAGGACGCAGAAGGCTTGGGTTCAGATCCTTGATTACTGAAAACTTACTGCAGGTGTGGAACTGGCAAAGCCACTCCTTAAGTATCTCCCTTGAGTTGAAAACTATTACGGTCATTATAAGTCAATTCCAACTTCATAGCATATAACACCAAAATTATTTGTGAAAACCTCAAAAATCTTCATTGTAAGAAACAGATCAATGCAAATAGGAAACAAGTTACACCTAAGCATAACCAGCTTGGAATCAACACTAAATAACTGGAATCCAAAAGACTTAGACATGTTTCTTGACTTTAAGAGTATAAGCCAAAAATGAAAAGTACTCCACAGTTGGTCTCAAGATCCATAATTTGCCTCATCAAATGCCTTTCTGGCCCGTTTCAGTTCTTCATTCATTGTTAACAAGTCTTTCACACGAGCAAACTTCCGTGGATCTTTACGGATTAAAAATACAATATCTTCAACCTGTACTCGGCCTTGCCGTCCAATAGACATTGCCTTGTGAGTCTGCCAGGGAACAAAAGTCGAATTTGAATTAGTACAGAATCACAACAGCAAAAATAAATGATTTGGTCATGTAGTGACATTGGCAAATCACCCATCTTCAAGATAAGATACTTCTCACATGGGCTGGCATATTTAACAATAACCCTTGTTGTGTACTGCTTCAGCAGTGTGTGTAAATGGCACCCACCCTAGCCAGGATTGTTCTACTCTACGACCTTTGCTACCCAAAAGCTTTCCAAAATCATAAGGAACAACTCCATTAAGAGAAATTCATCCAATGCAGTGATGCTAAGATTCCCAACTTATTCAGCCTTTAGAAAAGTATGCATACTAGTTACTTTTTGCCCACCCCTATTCTCTATTTCTGTATTCTGAACAGAGAAAATATATGTAAGTTGATTAATGGTGACTGGAATCAAGAATATACCAGTGTCAGCATTTAGGATGTGATTGCACTGCAACTAGACCTTTAGTAGAAGAGAATAACCTACCAGAGAAAAAGACAAGCGGCTATATTCATTATGTTCATTATACAGTGGTGCCTTGCTTAGCGATTGCTTCATTTAACAATGTATTCACTTTGCGATGGGTTGCTTTGAGGAATTTTCTGCATCGTTTAACGATGTTCTCTATGGGGGAATTTCACTTAACGATGTCCGGTTTTGCTCATTTAAAACTGTCTTAAAATGTTTGAAACCTGTTTTAAATGCTTGGAATATTTAGTCCACCTTGTGAAACCTATGCACACTTAGTTTGGCTTTGTTCTGAGTCTTCGTTAATTTTTGGTGATTTTTTGTTTTTCCCTCATTGAAAAGCATTGGACTGTCCGTTCAATGGATTTAAATGGGGAAAACAAAAAATCACCAAAAATTAACAGGTTTCAAACATTTTAAGACACTTAAAAATGAGCGAAAACGGACATTGGAAAGCCACTGAAATGCACTGAGTCGGCTTCAATGTATTTCAATAGCTTTCCGATGGGGGAAACATTGTTTCACTTAGCAATGTTTCCTATGGGGATTTTCGCTTAAGGACGGTAATCCGTTCCCATTGGAATGGATTAACCAGTTTTCAATGCATTCCTATGGGAAATGGTGTTTTGCTTAACGATGTATTCCCATAGCAATGTTGAACTGAACCAATTAACATCGTTAAGCGAGGCACCACTGTAATCTGAAGGCGTAACATTTATGCTAATATTCTGAAACTGCCTGCTATCTAATACTTAATTTGAATATGTTGCACTGAACTCAATACAATTTATTTGTACCAAAACAAAGCTTCAAAGCGTGTATAGAAGCTACTATGCCAGTCTACTAGTGTTTTCTATGGCTTTGCGTCATTGTTGCTAAGGGACACAGACAGCAGCCAAAGAGAGGAAAGCAGAAGTACAATGGACCCTCGACTTACGAAGGTCCCTACTTACAAAAATTTCGAGGTACGAAAAGCTCTGGCCGCAAAATTTTGGTTTGACTTGCAGCCGGAGCTTCGACCTAGAAAGGCAGGGGGAAAGGGCTGGAAATTCAAAGCCGCTCCCGCTACCCTCTGCCTCCCGTCCTGTAGAGACAGGAGGCAGAGGGCACCGGGGACAGGAGACAAGAGGGCAGCGGGGGCAGCTTTGGAAACCCGGCAAGCCAAAAGCCAGCAGCAAGTGCAGAGCGGCTTTCAACTTGCCAGGCTTCCAAAGCTTTCCCGCGGGGACAGGAGGCAGAGGGCAGCGGGTGCAGCTTTGGAAGCCTGGGTTTATTCTTCGGCTGGAACGGACTAAATGGTTTTCAATGCATTCCTATGAGAAATGGACCCTCGACCTACAGACCTTTTGACCTGCGACCACCGTTCCAATACGGATTAATTCCATAAGTCGAGGGTCCGCTGTACATAAATGTCAATACTACATACAGGGTCAAGTTCTCTGAAAAATTACTTTTGCCCTGTGTGGCTAAAAAGTGTTGGGTTTAGATACAATCACCCTAAACTGTTTCACTTAATGAATCATTCTTGGGAAAATTAACTGTTACAGAAATGCAGTTTCCCACACAGATTGCTAATAAGAGACAGTGTGATAAGTATATATTGTGACTTTCCTTGAGTTTCTGGGACAGGACTGGAAAGTAATTTAAATGTATGTTCCTAGGCAGAAAAACACTTCAAAGGAAAAGATTTCTATGTCTAGTAAATGGAAAATACTTCTTGTATGTCCTGCATCTCTAAAACAAAGAGTGCTCACTGTGCATATGGCATACAGCAGGTTCATTAATATTTTCCTTTTATACAAGTCCTCCCCTCAGTCTCTGTTCTCCAGCTAAAACAGACTGCAGCACAGAGACAGTCTCACATCTGCATGCAGTCTGTAATCACTTTCAAGCATGCCAACAAGACCTACCATTTCTGTGATGAATTCTATAACAAGGTCTTCAAGAATATCCACCGACTCTGTGTAAGGGTTCTGGTCATCTCCAAATCCATACATCATACACCTCACTGAGGAAAAAAAAGTATGCAGTGAATCTTGGATAAGGAATGCAATTCCTGGAAAGATTTGAACTATTTGCTGACTTCTATGTATAAATAAGCAATCACATTTTCTAAATTCTTCATTCAACATAGGTCTATAAACTAAACTCTTAAAGTCACTTTTAGAAGGCACGTGAGTAACAGTCCCATTAATCAAAAATGTCCTAGGGTATATACTGCCTAGAAAGTGACACAATGTTAGTCACCACCAGGATGATGTCCACATGCACACAAAACTGCTAAATAACCAATTACTTCAGTGCTGGCTCATGTTAGCTGTTATGTGAATACTGCAGTTTAGTTGGAAGATACTATTCCACAGAACGGCAGATATTGACTTAAAAATACAGAGGTATGGGTATAGTAAAAATGGGCTATTTTAAATCAAATATCTCAGGAAGTTTATACATATGCATCCATCTGTAAATGATTGCAAAACCAGGATAGAACACATGTGTATAACAGTTACTACAAATCAAGCACCGATTTTACCATCTCACAAAATCTCAATAATTTAAAGGGAAATAGTACACATATTTTTCTAAAAATCACCAAATGATTTTTAAAAAATGCCATATATGCTTGCATGAACTCAATCTTTAAGCTCAAGTTAAGCATGGTTTTAGATTTTTCTATTTTCGAGTATCCACTGGAATAGATTCAGCTGCTCAAAACTCACTGCTGTAGTCCAACCCACAGCATGCACACACTTCACTTCTCCTCTTGCCCTCCCCTGCTCTCACTGTTTTTATTGGGTTCACTACTATCTACAGTTTCATTCATGTGGAGAGGGAGGGATGAAGGCTGTATCCATTACCAAGGGTACTGTCTACAATAACTGACAACAGCCCTCTAGAATTTCAGAATGGAGACTTTCTTAGCAATACCTGAACCTGGCACCTTACACATGAAAGTACAGGCTCAACTACTCAACTCACATTCTTTGGAAAACAATCTTTTTCTTCTGCCCTGTCCACCATCAGCCCCTCCTCCAGCTTCTTCAGTATCTTCTTCAAACTAAAAGAAATCAAATCCAAAACAAGAATTAGAGAAGTAAAGACCAAAACCTTAAAACAACAAGGGGCATTAAGTGGCTCCCAAAAGATGCTCCTTCTCAAAATGGGAGAATGATTATTAAAGAGTCAAGTGATGCTTAATGCTAAAAACAAACACACAATGGAAAATAAATATCGATGGCTAATAACCAGAATGACAAAATTTTACCAGTAATATTGATAAAAGTCTGATCTAGCATGGCTTTTCTTACTGCTATACCATGTCACGAAGAGTCGGACACGACTGAACGAACAAACAATACCATATTTATAAAGTCATATATGCATGTTCACACAGAATCAAGTTTCTGTTACTTCAGTGTGACTTACTCCACGCCAAGCAGGTACAGGATTACAGCTTCATTCAGATATCTCCTCAGAATGAACTATTCAGTGAAGCTCATTTCCACGCAGTAAAACTTCATAATCAGCTCAAAAGCAAACTCAAGTAAGTTCCATCAGGCTTGTTTCATGGATCTCTTAAATAGATGTTAGCTCCCTAACATCAGTCACCTAAGAGTAGCTGCCATTGTGGTCCTGCGGATCCACTAAGTGTGACAGATTAGGAGTCGGGAGACTTGGGTTCAAATCCTCACTTAGCCATGGAAATTCACAGGGAAACGGGGGCATTACAAAACTACTCGTTAAATATATATCACATACCTTGGAAACCTTAAGGCCACCATAAATCAGGTGAGACTTGGTGACAACGTAACAGCTGACGCACTAAGGATTAGGATACCTACTTTTAATTGTATTATTTGCTGAAGGGGCTGGGAGCCTTGCTCAGATGCAACACCGCGCAGCGCGCCACATCCAAAAGCAAGGAGGCAGCCATGGGATGCGATATACGTATATACGGTGAATGATATATACTCTGTCGAAAACCAGATTACAATCCCCGTCTTCCCAGACACTTGTCGGGCCGTCCGCCTCTCCCTCCTGCTGCGCCGGTGCCAGGAAACTTCCAGGAGGAGCGACCCGCCTCCTCCCCCACCCTCCCAAGCCTCGGAGGGAAGCTAGACGGGGCGGCGGAGGCAAACAAGCCCCCGCCTTTCCCTCGCCAATTGCGGCAGCTGGGCCGCAAGGGGCCCCCGCCTTTCCCTAACGCGAGCCCAGGCTACCCCCGCAAGGCGAACGGCCCACGTATCCCCAACCCTGGGCTTCACTCACAGGAGGGTCCTCCTCCTCGTCTCCCATGGTCGCGCCAGCCGCCGGAACCACTCCCTTCCCGGTCCCGTCGGAGACTTCCGGTAAGGGACGCCGTGGCCCCGCCCCCGCCGGACAACGCTTCCGCCTCTGCGGCGTCTCTAAAGCGGCTGTCATTGATCGCGTTCCTCAGGTACTGCTGAGCATGCGCCTTCTACACAAATGAAGCTGCGCCGTGCCCGTAACCAGGTGTTTCTGTATGGAATTTCGTCAAATAAAACAAGGAAGGCATTCTCTCGTGGAAGGGAAACGGATCTAGTCGATGGCTGTCTTTGCATCTCCTAGATTTTGTAAGAGCAAAATCAGGGAATGCCAGCTACCAAGAAACTACTTTTGTTCCTTTAAAAACACCACCCAACTCCACCTTTAATCGTTGCTTCCTACTTTTTTGGACCTTGCCGCTCCTAAGTAACCAATTCTGTTTCAAAAGCAACTTTCCAAGCACTGGGCCTGGAGTACCATATTTAGTATTTAATAGCTCAATAATTGGCAATAGCTCAATAATTGGCAAACCTTGGTTTTCACCTTTTACTCTTAATACTCTTACCACCTCTGGTGGAGAGAATTCAAAGATTATACATCTTGAAAACACTATAAACCTTTTTCTTGTTGGGAGGGCTCAAGTGATTATTATTCAAACAATGCTTTAAAACAATTTTAATAGTAATTAAAATACACTGATGTCTAAAAAATTTAAAACTCAAAAAACAAACTTACTCAGCTAAAACCAGGAATTGGGGATGTAATTATTATTATTATGAAAAACTTGCCTGAAATAGTGGATCTTCTGCTGTTGCCAGAAGGATAAACAGCAGGGGGCCAGCTTAATCTCTCAAGGAAGAGGATTTCACAACCTGGGAGCAGCCAGAGCAAACAGAGAAGGCCCCTCTCTTGTGTCCCCATCAAATGTGCCGTCAATGGCAACGGGACCAAAAGAAAGGCTCATATGCGGAGACAGGGTCCTTCACATAGGCTAGACCCAAACTGTATAGGGCTTTACAGGTAATAACCAGCACAAATGGACTGGTAGCCAGTGCAGTTGTTGAAACAGGAGAGTTATATGCTTCCTATAAGTGGCCCCAGTCAGCAGCCTGGCAATTGAGCAGATCTGCAGATTCTTGAGGGATGAAAGCCTTCGAGAATACAGATCCAAGTGACTTTGCTGGGAAAATGTAGTGCAAATTCCTCAATGCAGATTGTGGTAAACTAAGTGGTGAGCAAATGTGTACGCTCTGTAACATGGTACTAACATTGAAACTGTATGAATAACTTAATACATTTATTAGCATTTATTGCAGTCAAATATTTACAGGAATAATTACTTTAAAAATGGAATTATGTAATTAAGTAAATCTTTTAGTGAAAGAACAGCATATAATGTGGAGAGGATGTGTGATGATTCTCAACACAAAGTTTCATCAGCTGGATAAAGGTAGGTGTCCAGTAACATGTACTATGAAGCATCTCAGTACATGGATTCCAGAATAAAACACAGAGCTGTGGGGGGGAAATGGTAAAGACTTTAAGGATGTAAAAGTATTATTTCATGCTCTCATTACTATTGCATTCAACATTCATTAGGGTTATACCTGACTGGAAAGAGTTGAGGGAAACATGCGTGTGTCTTTTTCCTTATAAACTCTTGAATCTGTAGTACATTTTTTGCCATCAATCCTTTTGATGCTCTGTCAATTTTTGTTATTACAAGCTGCAAAAGAAAAGTACAGAGAAAATTTTAAAGCAACATTTTAAAAGCCTTATGTTCATTGCAAAGTACAGCAAGTTCAACTTTTGAATATATCAGAATGTCTTTGACTCTCATATTTGTTTTTTAAAAATTAGCCTGAATTATTTGCAAAGAATTACTAAATTTCGCTTTTGAACTACCTCGGAATGGAGAGTTCCTTTTCTTTTCAATATAATACCACTGTACTTTCACATTTATCTCTGCAAACCTGATACTGTTTTACATCAAAAGGTAGAAAATCCAGAATTTTAACAATTAACACAGTGCAATCAATGGCAACATCTCAGATACATGAAACTCGGTCTCTATTTAGTTTAAATAATTTATTCAGGACATATTTCCTCATTTAACATCATAATTCCTGAAAATCTTGACTATATTTGGGGGGGATTTGAGGGTCCCCAGGATTTATGAGATTCCATGTTCATGTGGTTAGACATATGTAGGACAGATAGGGAGGAACACTAAAATCCAATGCAAAGAACAGCAGTGCTATGCTATCTTAAATTGAGTCAGGAAGAAAATTCTGCATTGGCAAAACACGAGAGACTGGGCACAGTATTTGCTTTAATGAAACAAACAAACTGTTTCAGTCACATGCTTGGAATTTGAGACTGATAAGGGAATCTAAGAGATACATGTTAGAAATAATGTGGTAAACTGGGAGGAAGAGCAAAGATTTTGTAACTGTAATTTATCTCATCAGAACAGCAGAAAGTTGATAAAGCAACTAGTATACCTGGAATGTTTTGTGTTGTAATCATATTGAGTATATATCACCATATGCAATGCAGCTAGTATGCCGTTGTAATCCTGAGGATAACAGGGCATTTTTCCTTGTTGAAAGATTGATCTTTTATTATTTTATTAAAGTTTTTACTTGAAGGCTAAACCTGTGAAGTTCTTTGAACTTTATTAAAGTTTTTACTTGAAAGCTAAACCTGTGAGGTTCTTTGAGCCAATTCAGTCTGTTTGGTCTGGGGTTGGTCGTCTTTTTCTATGATGCTCCAAGAAACAGAAAGGTTTTTATATTCTTACTCTTTCTTCACAGTAAAAAAAGGAAAATTGAAGAGCTTCCATTTGAAACTTTTTTACACATTACTAAAGTGACATTAAATAAAACTGGACACAAAACATTTAGTTCTTCTACTCCAATTAATGAGACATACATATTTATTTACCCAACTGGATCTTTACTGAGATTATTTCCTATTTTATTTTATTTCTTCTAAATGCTTTTTGTTCATGACATTATATGCTCGTTTCCTGTGATTAAACAAGAATGACAACTCACAACGTAAGGAAGTCCGAATTCTTCCAACATCTCTATAGCAATATTATCCATTTCCTGAATTCCTGTTTGGCCATCCACTAACAAGAACGTCCTTCTCAAACTAGAGAAAATGAAAACATAGGACACACTCACACTTAGCAACTATAAAAAGTAATCTGAGCTGGGTTTACTTTTAAGGGGAAATATGGATTCTTCAAGTGAAAAGAGACATTCCTTGTTACAAGCCCCACTACCAGATTGTGTGTAGATACAATACAAAGTGCTAATTCTGACCTGGAACCCTATGTGCAGCTTGGGTCGAAGTTATCTGAATGACCAGATCAAATAACAGCCTCCTCAAGCCCCCAGAGAGGTATTTCTCTCTCATTTATTATTTATTTATTACTTTAGTTTATATACAAAGCACTATTCTAGACAATTTCCAAACAACTAAAACCAGTATAAACACAATCAACAATAAATTAAAAGACAAATAACAAATAGTACAGTATTAGCCTAAATGGCGCCAAAGACAAATCTTCCCAATAACAGCAGGATGGGAGGTGGGACATTCTACTGTGGTTGGTGTGAAAAGCCTCCCTGAAAAGTAATGTTTTCAGTTGCCTCCTAAATGAAAGCAAAGAGGGAACCAGGCATAGCTCCTCCAGGAGCTGATTCCATAATGTCGGTGCCATTGCAGAGAAGGCCTTGTCTCTTGTAGATGACTTTTGGGCCTCCCTTCAGTGGCTACATGGAGGAGCCTAGCCTTCTGTACCATTGCTGGAACAGGGTCTTGGTTGCTGCTCTCAGACTATGCTATCCCTTCCAAGGAAAGCTGGGCTGGTTTCCTCATTGCTATTCTTGTACCAACCCACAAAGACCTTTTTATTCAGGCTGATTTTGACAATGACTACCTACTGACAGTCTTTTAATGGGGTATAGTGTATTTTTTCTCCTGATCTGGTGTTACAATAGTATTTTAATTTTATGCTTATATATAATACCATAACTTATTTAACTGTGCTCTGATATCATAGCTGACTAGGTTTCAGCTTTATTTTAATTCATGTTAAGATCCACCCTGGATCCCACTATTGGCAGAAAGCAAAATACAGGTATTAATGACTAATTAACTGTTAATCATTCTATCATACACTTCCAATAGGTGCATAGTAAAATCTTTGTTACAATTTGGCAGAATAATAGACACAATAGACAATCTTGGAATTAATGAGCTCATCCTAGTATAGTCTGTTCTTTGTTTTGGATGGGCTCCAATTTATATATGGGAAACCTCTGGCCCTCCAGTTTTTGTGTTATAGTTCTACAACTTCCTACCATTGACTATATTGGGTGAATAAAACAGGAGCTGTAGGCAAAGACTTCAGATACAGGATATGATGTTCAGCTCCTTATAAAGAATGGTGGAAAATTATAACACTCCAGGCAGGGAGTGGGAGGTCAAGTTTCCCCTCCCAGATGCTGAGTGGCTAGCTCAACAGGGGGACGGCGGAGTTCCAGGTGCCACTGGCAAGAAGAGTGAGACCTCTGTAATGCCAGGACACATGAGTGGATGGCCCAGTCCCAGAGGCTCGACCATCATTAGGTCCACCTGGAATGGGGATATTTGTATTCATTTACGAATATGAATATCTCATCTCTAGCCAGGATCCTATTAGTTATGCCCACCATTGTAACCCAATCGATGTACCTTTCAGCACTGAACTGCCAGAAGATCAGAAGTTAGCATAGGTATTTCCTATCACACACCAGTTGTGTATGTTGGTGTGTGATAAAATATGACCATGCTGGCTTTTTAACTTTTGGCCATTTGCAGCTAAAAGTTACTTTGATGGAGTTATCCTGGTAAAACTATACAACAGGATTTCAGCTAATATTTACAAGTCCTTTCGCTGATACAAGTTTAAACTTTTTGCATCCAATTCATATGCACAAGCAACCTCCCTACTGACAACATTTTAGTACAGTATAATAAAATGGGTCCTTAACATAACACTGTCTAACTCTAACCCATCCATGTAATGCTATGGAGGAGTGACTGCAGCAGAATTTTTATATTATGTCTTACTTCTGACGCTGATTCAAGTAAGGCTCCACCATCTCTGCAAAATCTTTTGGTGCTTTGTAACCATAGCCTGGCATATCTACCAAAGTGAAGAATTTTCCCACTTTATAGAAATTCAGTTTCTTTGTGTGACCCTGGAGAAAAATTGAGTTTCTTCTAATTAGTAATTAAAAAAAAATACAAAACAACATTGGATTTGAGGGCTAATGAAATACTGTACATTTTATATCTAACATGCATCTGAACTTAACAAAGGGAAGAGCCAAGATTCAGATAGGAACTAAAGGATGAAGATACAATATAACACAACATAATACATAGTTAATACTCATGCTGGCTGGAAGTTATATCTGCAGGTCATCACATTGGGCAACACTAGTTTTGTTGACTTACTGCAGAACATTCAATGACACATTGCTTTTTTTGGCCATTTGGCTAAGATCAGGAATTCAAGATAAGATTCGGATGAATTCACTATGCATAATGAAACATTAAAACTTAATCTATTTGATGACTGATACACACAAATACTGTACATAGCCATCACATACATCTATCATGTAATTAAAAGCAGGCATATCATGTGTGACACAGACCTCAAGAAACAGCAGCATGGGCAAACACAGGCCAGTGCTATTACTCAAAGATCTATGAACTGCAGGGCTGTGCTGTGTATACTGAAAAGCAGGGGCAGTTTACCCTGGAGAAGGTATTGTCATGATCAACTAGCTTCAGGAATGGTTGCCTGCATTCAATTCCTTTCCATTCCTTTTTCATTGGTCTGTGATATACTGAACAGAGACTGTGTCTTATCTTTTAATCCTTGAGCAGCACTCATAAAACATTAAGCACTTTATAAGATGATCCTGATAAGCATGTTCCCAGTATGCTCTCCCAAAGCTGGAGTCTGTCCATCAGTTAGCAGAAATTTCACAGTATACAAAACAGAGCAGAAACATCTTGCTTTCAACTGAGCTTTATTCATTTCCTAAATGAGCATAATAAATCCTCAAACATTACTCACTGGGGTCTTGGAAACTCTGACTTCAACATCAGGGGCCAGTGAAAACAAGGCTTTTATTAAGGAGGATTTTCCAACATTGCTTCTCCCTAGGAAGCAAACCTGAGAAAAGAAGTTACAAGAAGCACTGTAGGTTTGTTCCTCTCGTTCAGTGAAAAGGTATGCCATCACAGGCAACAGTCCATAATCTGTTACCTCCCTTCTCCCAACAACCCAATTTACAGCTACAGGGTAAGCTGTACTAAAAAAGTTTTTCAAAAGGACATGGAATTTCTGCTGAAAATCTGTTCTCTATAGTACCACTGAAATGTCAATGTTTGCAATAACATCAGCACATGTATAATGGACAAAGGAGTTTTTGCCTCTTCTGGATATTGAAACCTTTGTACAAGTTCCACAGAAAATGTTGTTGCAGAGTTTTGAATTTTTGGTTAAAATTCTCCTTTTTAATGCACAGCAGAAGTACAGACACCCACAAAAAGAATAGATTCAAGTTCCTCCCATAGTCCACCCCTTTCTCATTAAAGGGCATTTAGTCTCAATAATTTACTCTGAGAAGGAGGAAAAAAACAATCATTTAATTACAGTTGGGAACAGCATACAGCAAACTAACAACAAACAACCAAGCAAAATTTCCACAGATGAGAAACAACACTCAGCAGAAAGGAGGGGCTCTCTCCAAATTAAGAAGTGGGAAGGAATCATTGGTCAATGCTCGACAGATTGATAGTCACCTCGGCCCAGAATGGTCCCTTAGAGCCTCATTTCCTAAATGAGCATAATAAATCCTCAAACATTACTCACTGGGGTCTTGGAAACTCTGACTTCAACATCAGGGGCCAGTGAAAACAAGGCTTTTATTAAGGAGGATTTTCCAACATTGCTTCTCCCTAGGAAGCAAACCTGAGAAAAGAAGTTACAAGCACTGTAGGTTTGTTCCTCTCATTCAGTGAAAAGGTATGCCATCACAGGCAACAGTCCATAATCTGTTACCTCCCTTCTCCCAACAACCCAATTTACAGCTACAGGGTAAGCTGTACTAAAAAAGTTTTTCAAAAGGACATGGAATTTCTGCTGAAAATCTGTTCTCTATAGTACCACTGAAATGTCAATGTTTGCAATAACATCAGCACATGTATAATGGACAAAGGAGTTTTTGCCTCTTCTGGATATTGAAACCTTTGTACAAGTTCCACAGAAAATGTTGTTGCAGAGTTTTGAATTTTTGGTTAAAATTCTCCTTTTTAATGCACAGCAGAAGTACAGACACCCACAAAAAGAATAGATTCAAGTTCCTCTCATAGTCCACCCCTTTCTCATTAAATGGCATTTAGTCTCAATAATTCACTCTGAGAAGGAGAAAAAAAACCCAGTCATTTAATTACAATTGGGAACAGCATACAGCAAACTAACAACAACCAAGCAAAATTTCCACAGATGAGAAACAACACTCAGCAGAAAGGTGGGGCTCTCTCCAAATTCTGAAGTGGGAAGGAATCATTGGTCAATGCTGGACAGATTGATAGTCACCTCGGCCCAGAAAGGTCCCTTAGAGCCAAACAAACCACGGGTAGCACGTGAGATTGCAAAGACTCCAACATATGTCAGAATTGTCATTTACTAAATAGCATTGCTCCCTAGAAGCATGAGTGTATGCTAACTTTTCAGCACTTTCATGGATCTCATACATTTGCAAAGAAAAGCTCCAGTTTCAATTGTGTTTTATGATATAGATTTAGGACTGCATGCTTAAACAGACAAGACCTAGTTACGTTTTGTTGGACGTTTTGTTCTGGTTCCCTTATCCCTTTAAAAGAATGTGGCACTTTTGTTATTCTTAGCAAAATGGAGAAGCAGTGGGAGTAATAAAAACTAATAGATGCATAAAATATCGCTGCAAATCCAGTAATGAAAAAAGTGTGCAGAGATCAAAGGATGGGATTTTGGCTTAACAAAGAAAGCGTAGCTGTGTGAAGTAGAGGCACTCCCCTAATTTCAAGACTTGCACAGATCCCCATCTGTTCCAAGACTGAATCAGCCATTATCAACCTTTTTTTTTTGGCCATGGCCATAAACACAGTCTGAAAGACATACAGGCCAAATCACAATTGTGTAAGTTGCTTGTTTGTGGAGAATTGTTTCCAGTTTGTAGACCTCTTCAAATGTGTCAGGGCCCCCATATGGCCCTCTGTGAGAACTGCTGTCCTACAGATACACAAATTTGTTTTCAGATAAATCCCAGAATTCTGTAGGCTTTGCTGACCGGGGAATTCTGAGAGTTGTAGTTTTTTAAAAAAGCTGATATGGTATCATGACTTCACTTGTATTTTTCATTAGAAGCTTTTCTTTGGATTCAGTCGCTTATGAATAAAAATAATAATGGATTTGGAAGGGACCTATTCCAACTCCTGGAATTCTAAGAACTCTTAATTAGGAATTAGAAAGGGATACCAATTCCTAATATATTAGTACCTATAGTGCAGGGGTGGGCATGTCTGGAGGGCTTCAGGGTACAGTATTTTTAATGATTTGTCATCATTTTGAGGACAGCAATCCCTAGGTGACATATCCAAAGTGGAAGGGATGTACCAGATTAGCCAATTTGGATCCTTTTAAGAAGAAAGGCTGGGCAAAAATATTTTAAATATATAATAAATAAATAAATAATTTTTTATTTCTAAAACCAGCTAAAAATAATTTTCACAGGCTATTGTGATTTACTGCACTTTGACTTATTTTTATATCAATATCAATATATTATTTAAAAGATTATGAAGTCTTATTGTATTTAATTATCCAGTGAGTTCTAAGATTTCAATAGGCTTTTAAAAACAGCAGAGAACTGCAGCTGTAAACTGTAGCTTCTATATTGCATACACAGCTTTTTACAGCCAACCAACTTTAAGTAACACTAACCAAAGTGTGGGGAAAGCCACAGTGAAGCCGCAGTATAAGGAACAGAGAAGCCATGGTTTCCTAGGGCAAATCTCTGTTGCCTTCCTTTTGTATTTCATTTTTCTGGGTTTTTTTGGAGGATGCAAAAATACACCGGAGCTGCATATGTCCCACTGGCTGCACTTAGTTCACCCCTCTTATAATATCTTGAGAATGGGCAGGTCTGTCTTGGGGGCAAAGGGATGCATTCTCAGTCAGAAGGCCCACAAACGTGTTTTTGACAGCTCTGTTATATGTTCTGTTCTGCAATCAAAGCCATGTGGATCCCTACATACTATGATGTAATATCTCCTGTTCTTCCATACACCAGCTGGTCCCTCAAAATGTCAGAAAAGAGAATAAAGTTAGATATCTTTGCTTCTTGTTTCTTTTACGAAAGATGACAACAAAGTTGAAGAATGAAACTTACCTCAGGCTGTGACAATTCAGGGGCATGATCCATCCGGACCGCAGAAGTGAAATAATCAATTATGTGTTGATGTGACTGAATGAAAAAGACCTCTGCCCTGCTAATGTCATTATAGTTCGGTTTGAAAGTATAAAAACACGATGTATCCACAGTAGGGTCCAGGTGCCTTGCCAGCTCTTGGAGAGGGAAGGTAAATCCAATTAACTGTTTTTCATGTAACTGCAGAACATTTGTAAACGATGCATATTTGATAGCAGTTCTGCTTTTAGTAACAAAATGTCTCAGCATCAGGTAGCGAATTAGTGGAATACCCCTTGCTTTTGGTAACTGCAACATACTTGCCCGTGGATTTTCAAAAGTCATGCAATGTTTCCATCAACCAACTCAGGACATTCATACTTTGAAATTAAACACTCACAAAGCCTTTGGGCTTAAGGTTCAGACTGCTGGTTAGACAGAAAGGAGAGAAAGAGAGGTGTGTCATGAGGGTTATCACACTTTCCGAGGAGTTATTGAGCTAATCTGTCGCAACACCCCAAGCATCCTGTAACACTGTGAATCCATCATGAGTATCATAGCATAAGATCTCATGAATTACAGCTCACTTCACCCGTTGCATGATATGTGACCCAGAATTTCAGAAGTATACATGGTTTCAGAATTTCAGAAGTATACATGGTTGGGGCATATGATGGTGGAGAGTGATGTCAGAGGGGAATTAAATGCAGGAAGTCCTGCCAGTGACAATTACATGATGCATACCAGCCATTCACAAAACGGTTGCTCATAAAATCACCCCATTGATAAATGTCAAGAGTTCGGACAACTGTCAGCCACGCAAACGCCTACCGCACTGGCGTTGAAAGACAGCACTTCGGAGCAAGACTTTCAGTGCGGATGATAACCAGAATACACTACAATCTAATACACGTACTGCATATTTCGAAGTGAATCCTATCGAGTTCAACAGAATCACTCCGAGATTACTGGAGACTCTGAAAGGTCCCGTCTTCCCAACATCTTGAGGTCGAGTGACAAAGGAAAATAAATTGGAAACGGCACTAAAGCACTCATTAAACTAAAAAATGGCGACTTGGGAGATAATTATTAACTTGCAGCTCTAAAATCCACAAACCCGTCAAAGTCATCTAAGCAGATCGATTACGGGCACCTCCTTCCAACACGATACCGGGCGCAACGCGAAGCAGCAAGGAAGAAAACACATGCTGTTGGAAGCGGCGGAAACTCATCATCTTCGGGTCACTGCAGCAAACACAGACTTCGCCAGCATTTAACCCGGAAACAGAAGCAATCACCCGCCTCCTTTCCTTCAAAGGAAAAGTATAGGGATGGATCCTTCCGGATGCAAGCGTTGGCTTCTGTCGCCTCGCTTTGCAGTGCAGAGGCGAGAACGATGTTCGGGGCTGAACAGTTTCGGCTGTCCTTCCCGCAGTAGATAACACTGGGGTGTGTGTATGTGTGTGATATTTGTATTTGCCAGGCGATCAGGCAATACTGAACAACTTGTTTGGACACAGAGAAAGATCTGGTTTTGGAGGAATATAAATGCTTCTTTACGGCTTCTTGATGGGAACGTGTGTTTGTGTGATACACCCCACACTGCGACGGAGGGGGACGGTTGCATCGCCCCAAAATGTTGGGTGGGCGTCCTCCTTGCTCCGAGTATAAGCCGCCTACGAACATTAAGAGAGACTTGAGTTGCTTCCCCTCCTGCCACTGTTAATTTTTACCGTGGTGAGGAAGAACACGTGACGTCAAAAATAACCAAAAGCCCATTCATTGCACATCCAAGAGCTGCTCAGTCTGAAGCTGAAATCCTGAATCTATAGCGATTGGGGCACGGAAAGACAATAAAACAATATCAAATAATTCATAAGAATTTAAAACTATTTAATACTATTCAGCAAGACAAACCAATGGAAAGAAAGCTACAGCCCAATAATAGAACCAGTTATATGGCTCCTATCCCCCAGAATCTTGGGTGAAAACACAAGTTTTAATTTGGCACCAAAAGTATGCCAGTATTGGCACTGCTGGTGGCTTTGGGTCATACCCTGTCCTGCAACTATTAACTTTCAGATAATACATTTCCTCCAAGAATGACTAGCAACGTGTACAAGCACTTTGCTGAAGAAGGGGTCTTTTCAGTGTTGTGATCACTCACATAACTCTGAATCCAGGAACTCTCTCTTATGAAAAGGATGTAGCCCAGCCTCTTTCAAAGTGGCAAGCACCATCTCCCTTCACCTAATGGGGTATTTTCCATCCCCGGACCCACGCTGTCAGTCTACCTCTGCTATATCTCACCAAACATGATGAGCAAGGAGCAATGTCACAGGACAGACTAATTCAAGTGCATTGTCCGTCCTTAGACTACAGCAATTTCAGCTCATTCCTGAAATACCTGAATAGATACCATAATGAATATAAACAATTTTTCCCCTCAAACTGCCAAGCAAGTTTATCACATCAAATTTACCACTCTCAGAGTCTTCAGTCCTATTAACTCTGGGCTGATCCAAACCACTGGATCAGCTAGCTGAAATTCCTCGTTTTCTAAGTACTGTATGTACTTTCTTTTGCAAAAAGCATAAAGCAAGTTTTGCTATTTTGTGGTGACTTTGCTCGTTTAAGCTAAGAGAATTTTAGGTAACTTTTTCCTTTTTGTAATTGTTTTATCTTTTTTGCTTATTTCTTTATAATAAATACTTAAAATCCTTTCCAGGTGTTGGTTGGATTTTAGATGCAGGGGGAATCCAGGTACTAATTTTCAGTGCTTTCCCTTGCTATACTACAGTAGTTTGGCAAGGGAAACTATTGGTGAATAGTTGAGTGGGGGAAGTGGCAGCAATTTTTATACATTTTTGTTAAATTCAATGAAAGGCTCTAGGCAAAGGAACTAGAGTGCTTGGGACTGGAAAGGATCATCATTTGAGCTTGATGAGTCTGTCACTTCCAGCAGATTTCTTGCGTTTCCCCATCTCAAGGCAACAAAGTACTGTACAGAGAGATAGAAGAACTCTCAGAATGGCAACCTGAATACAGTTGCGTGATCCAAAAAGCTTTACTGGGTACTCTTTACATCAGTTAATTAGTAGGACTCGGTGGGGGAATATTATTAAATCCCAAGGTAGTACTTCAAAAATTGGTCCATAAATAATTTTCGGTTATCTTATAGTTTAATAAATGGGACGTATTAAAAGTAAAAGTTAAAGCCTATTAAAAGTATTTTCTGTCAGCTTGAACATCTGGAATATAGTGTATTCACTGTTGTGTTAAAATACCATGGCCAAAATTCAAAAGTGAAAGTGTCTGAGTGCTGTTGCTGACAAAGGTAAAAGATGAATACTTACTGAGGTGCCTCTAGTTTCGGCTTGTTCTTTTTCTTAACAGTGATAAATAGGATGGCCACATTAGGGGAAGAAATGACTCTTTGATCTGTAGCAGTGGTGTGAAAAATAGATTTTCATCCAGTGTAGTTTTTCATGCAAGCAACACATACAGGTGGTTATTGTAGGTTTTTCGGGCTGTTTGGCCATGTTCTGGAGGTTGTTCTTCCTGATGTTTTGCCAGTCTCTGTGGCTGGCATCTTCAGAGGACAGGAGCTAGAACCCTGTGATCTGGTGTAGTGCGTGGGATTATTGAGTATTTGTAGCTGTGGGATCAGATTTTTGTTCTTTTCAGGAGATCGGGTGATTATTGTGATCAGGGTGTTTTTTGTTTATTGATTGATTGATTTACAAGATTTTTTAAGCTGTGCTATGGATGTATTGTTGTGATAAGGGGGGAGATGATCTGTCATTGTGATTGATTGTGATCAGGGTGTTTTTTGTTTATTGATTGATTGATTTACAAGATCTTTTAGCTGTACTATGGATGTATTGTGATAAGGGGGGAGATGATCTGTCATTGTGATCGACGGGTGTCGTTAACTGCTGTCATTGTGATTGATGGGTGTCGTTAACTAGTTTTTTGTGTGCAGTTGATTGCAATTGGTACATTGTAATGTGCATCTATGCATTTTGTGAATAGTTCTGTCAATTAAATTCTAGTAATAGAAATAATTACTAGAATGATGATCAAGTGTGGAGATAGGGAGTCATGTATGCTGCTTTGAGTTCACTGGAGGAAATAAAGGATATCACTAGAAGAGACAAACAATCCTTGTGTGATTCAAGATGTGTCACCTTCAAATCTCTTCATAGCAATAGGGAACAAAACAGTCATTTCTTGCTTTTACCACTAGGTAGCAATAGAAGTTAAAAAGCATGTTTCTTGTTAGTACTGTATACAGTTTTGGGAATTTTAGAACAGGTAGCTGTGCTAGTCACTGCAGGCATATTAAGCAAAATCCAAACAAACAAACAAAAGACAAAAACATGTGGCACCTTAAAATATTTTAAGGCAAAGTTTCGTGGATAAGCCCACTTTGTAGGACATATGGGAAGAATGAAATAAATGAAATACCAAATTCACAAGTAAAACATTCATTGGCTCTAAGAGTCTTGGGTATGTAGTTACATCTCACATGCAGCAATTTATGTCCTATGTCTGGTGTTAAGTTTTATTGTAAATATTTGTATAGGAGACAGAAAAAGATAACTTTGCAAGAGCAACAAAGAAGGAAGAGAAGGGGTGGAAACGTATTGAAAACTGACAGAAATAAGGATAGTTAAAAACTGAAGAGGGGGAGAAAGGGTGTGGAGAAGATATAAAAGTAAAAGAAGATAGCAGAGGAATCATGTGTGTTAATATAGGGAATATTAACAGTTTTTACCTTTGAACCTTGTGATGAAAGATGGGCCTGGTAGTTGTGAAGAAAATAATACTAGATAGTTGTATCGTATTGAAAACTGACAGAAATAAGGATAGTTAAAAACTGAAGAGGGGGAGAAAGGGTGTGGAGAAGATATAAAAGTAAAAGAAGATAGCAGAGGAATCATGTGTGTTAATATAGGGAATATTAACAGTTTTTACCTTTGAACCTTGTGATGAAAGATGGGCCTGGTAGTTGTGAAGAAAATAATACTAGATAGTTGTATAAGTGTTACATTTGGTAATGACTTAAGAAACCTAGGCCTATATTCGTATTCCATTTATGCGGGTGTCCATCATGCTTATACATTTTATCTCAGCTGTTTTCCTCTATATTCTTGGTTTGTAATGATTCTGTTCTAAAATAATGACTTTTAAATCTTCTACGGAGCATCCTGGTGGATTGAAATGATTGGAAACAGTTTTCTGTGTATTGTGGTTTCTGATGTCAGATTTGTGACCATTGACCCATTTTCGTAGAGATTGTCCTGTTTCTCCTAAGTAGAGTGCAGTGGGGCATTGTTGGCAAAAGCTGGCAATGAATTTGACACAACTCCGGGAGGCAGTGGAAGATAGGAGGGCCTGGCGTGCTCTGGTCCATGGGGTCACGGAGAGTCGGACACGACTAAACGACTAAACAAACGAACGAAACGATCCTGTAGGTTGGAGCAGATGTGCTTGTATCTGAGGGCTTGACTGTACACGATGGATTCTGTTATGTGTTCAGGATGGAAGCTGGAAGAGTACAAGTAGGTATATTGATCGGTGGGTTTTTGGTACAGCATGGTGCTAAGATGTCCATGTTGTAGTTACACAGTGGTGTTTAGAAAATGTGTCTGTTGAATAGATTGCTCCAGGATGAGGCTGATGTTTGGGTGAAATTTATTGAAATCCCAGTGGAACTTTTCCAGGAATTTCTTTCCATGGATCCAGATCAGAAAATTTTTATCAAAGTACCTCAAATACAGGAGTGGCTTCTGGATGTAGTTTTGGGGATGGAATAGTTGTCTAGGAAGCCCACAGTCTTCTCCATGACAGAGTAAAGGACACACAGATGACCTACCCTGTGCCCTGTTGGAGAGCATCTGACCCACTCCTTGACTGGGTCCAAGATGGCATTTGTGCATTTCCAGTTCTGCATGAAGACCTCCTTTCTGTACATGGGGAAACACAAACAGCAAGGCCAGGTCGTGGATGGTGCAGGCAGAGCAGAAGAGTATCTGGTTATGGTAGTTGCAGAGCTGCATGATTTGTTTTATTTTTATTTTTCTCTAACTCCTGCTTTTTCCCCAGCCATCAACATAAAACCTCCAGCAACTTCCAAAGGTAGTGATTGGGAATGGAAGGCCTTTAAAGGGGCAAGTGGCATGATACTGTTTGATTCCTTAAAAGGGCAATGCAGGGAACCTGCTGTTCTTGACTATGGTTCCACACATTCTCTCTGCATGTACCCTTCCTGTTCTCTGGATGGGACGTCAGTGATACTGTGACCACAAGACTTTGATGATTTATCAATGACTT